ATATTAATTAAAGGAGTATTAAAGACAAAAAATATTTCCTTTGATTTAGAAAATTTAAAAGATAGAATTAAGAAAGGGCTATTAACAGTGTAATAATTATCTCAAATAATGTTTCATGTAACAATATGTAAAAAATTTGTCTATTAAAAGTGGTATCTGAATGTGAAAGAAGAAATCCAAAATTTCTTATAAGTTTGAGACTTGATTAAATATATTTGAATAAAAATTAAGAGGATACTAATGTATTTATTTTTGAAGAAGATTAATAAAATATAACTTAAAAATAGATTCCAGCTAATTAAATACTATAAAAACTATGTAATTATATTCAGTTATTCTATAGTTTTATAATTAGGTTTTAATCTAAATTCTAAGCTCTTTGAAGGTAAGAATTATGTAGAAAACATTATTGAGGAATTAATATAAAACATTTTTGAAGAAAAAAAAAATGACTGCAAAGTTATTATTCCTGTAGCAAATATTTTAAAAGTTATTTTTAATTTTAAAATACTAAAGACTATTTATGATTAAAAATGGTCAAGAGTTTATCTCATTTAGACACCTTATTTTATAAATAATTAAAGAAATTAAATTGTTGTTAAATGGCTTAAATATGATGAGGATTAAATTGAATATTAAAATAGGGAAATTCAATTATTAGAATTAGTTAATGATTCTGAAAATTGTACAAATATGTTTTGTTATAGTAATTATGTGGATGAATAATTATTATTTATGAAATATTATGATTTAACTTTAGAGGATTTAAATAATAAAATAGGTAAACAAGCTTTAAATCTAAATGATTTGTTGCATATTATAATATAAATTATATTGGCATTAAAAGGACTTCATTGTCGAAAAATAATTCATCGAGATTTAAAACCATAAAACATTATGTTTGAATATCTTAATGAAAATTAAAATATTTTAGATATGAGATGTGTGCTAATTGATTTTGATAGATCTAAGCTTCAACGTAATGATTAAAGCAATGTTTTTATTTTTCTTTCAGATTATGAAGGTACACCTGGTTATTAACCTCCTGAAGGAACTTAAGATGTTTATAATGCATCTTATGATATCTGGTAATTAGGCTATATTATTTAATGTATTTTAATAAGAGACACTAATTCACAATATTCTAAAGCAAAAGATAGACCAATGAAGCAAAAAAAATACGCAGAAATATTTAAAAAAGATTAAGAAAAACTTTAATAAAATTATCCTTAATTTTCTTCTATTATTATGAAAATGATGAATCATGATCCAAATTTAAGACCGAATTTAGAAGAAATTGAAAATTATTTTTTAAATATTTAATGAAAAACATTATTAATTTATTTATTATTTTTATTTTGATATCAGAGATGGAAGGTAAATGATATCTCTAATTAGAAATCTATAAATGCTCGCAAAATAAATTCTTTATTGTTTAATACAGATCTAAAGCTTAAGCTGACTCAAGTCTAAAAAACAAAGTGATCTTAATACAAAAAAAAAATAATAAATAAATTAATCGTGCTTTGGATAAGTCAAAATAAGTGGGAATATTTTTAAGTTGTTTGGATGAAAAATCATTCCTTGCATTCGGAATTTTATAAAAATAATGTATTGAACTTGATCACTTAACTGTATAACCTCGTATTAACAAATTAGGAAGATTAAAATCTAAATCTTAGTATTTTTTAAGGAAATTAAGAATCATTTTTTAAAGTTGATTGGACTTTAAAAGGTTTGCTGAGCTATGAAAAAACACAAAATATCAAAAATGATTTGAACGAATAATTTTCGGTTAGTTAATCTAAAGAAGTTTAAGAATTATCAAATTTAATTGCTGAAGAGGTTAAGATATATAGTAATTTAAGCTTTATTCACTTTTACGAAAATAAAAACCTCATATTCCATAGTAGATCGATGATTCAAAAACAAGAATAAAAAAAAAAAGTTAAAGTAGAAGTAGAAGTCGAAATAGAGAAAGAGAAAGAGAGAAATCTTATGATAAGAGAAGATAAAGCAAAGATACAAATGATGACAGAGAAAGAAAATAAAAACAAAATTATAGAGAAGATAGTTATAGAAGTAGTTATGATAGACACAAAAAAACTAGAAGAAGTTCAGATAGAAAGAATAAGGATAGAAGGAGTAGAGATAGTAAAAGGAATAAAAGGAGAACCTAAGATATGAAAAGTGAAGATAGAAAAAATAGAGATAAAAAAAATAGAAGTAGTTAAAATAAATGGCAATTTCATTAAGAGTTTGTTGATGACAGTTAAGTAATACATAATAGATATAGAATAAGTGCATGCTGAGGTAAAATTAAAAGAATAAGACATTTTGGAAAAAGAAAAAAATTTAAGAGAAATATGTGAGAGAGAAAGAGCTAAAGAATAAAGAGAATAAAGATTTAGAGAATTTTAGAAAAAAACTGATAAAATAAATACTTAATTACCTATAGATTGGGAAAGAGAAAAAAGAATTCAATATGAATAAGATCAAGCCAAATAAAAAGATAAAATTTAGAATAAAAATTAGGAAAGAGAAGGGGAGAAGGCAAAAGAAAAAGAAAGGGAAAAAGACAAATACAAAGATAGAGAAAAATAATTAAAGGAAAAAGAATATGAAAGAGAAAAAGAAAAAGAGAGATAAAATGAAAAAGAAAAATATAGACATGAAAAAAAAGATTAAAATTAATAATCTAAAGATAAGAATATTCATCGTTATGAAGATAAATAGAGAAGAAATTCAAGAGATAGATCAAGAGATAAATCACATTATGAGAATGATAGAGGAGATAGAGAAAAAAGATCCAAAAATAATAGATCAGAAAAAAAACATAAAACAAATAAGTTAGGATTAAAATCATACTTTTCTCGAAACAAGTCTTCATCCTTAGAAAGTTAAAATAAAAGAGAGATTGAACTAAAAAAATCAGAAAATTCTAATTTATAAATTTAAAAGTATTAAGAAGATTTCAAAATGAAAAGAGAATATTAATATCAAGATGAATTTTATAGCAAATCTGTATCATTATCTCCTCACTAAGAAATAATCTAAAAATAAATAGATATTTTAGATCCAGTTAAAATTCCTGATAAAATTAAAAGTTCCCCTGTTTAAGTACATTTACAATAGTAAACTTAAATACCTTAGCTTGAAGTTTTATCAGTTCCTCAATAGAATCAATAGATTTAAATTTTAGTTGAAAAAAAAGAAGAATTTCCTGAGATAGTAATATAAAAGAATAATAAAAGAGTATTGGTAGTAAATTAAGATAAATAATAACCAATTTAAGAAATAAATATCACAACATAGTATGGTTCTATGAAAATCATTAAATGTGCTTAAAGCAATAACAACCAAATAATTTCAGCGTAAAAGCAAACTATCTAAATTCATTAAAGTGGTTCAGAAAAAATTAAGGATCGTATCCTAATTAAAAATAATTGAGAATTCATATACAAGTTTAATTAACAATATTAATGTTTTTTGCGATCTTTACTTCTAGAAATGAATTTGAAATCAACATTAAATCAACTTTTAGTTGCTGATTTGAAATTAAATCTGTTAAAAAACGATTGGAAATATATAATCTTAATCAAATTTTTGAAAAAAACTTTCTTTCTTAATTAATTTTCTCCAAAGAAGATTTCTAACCAATTGCTTTTTATGATTATTATTTTTAATTTGTAATTTAGCGAGATCTAGGGTTATTTTTGACAGATTATATTAAAGGTACTATATCTTGTGGTTTAGTCTATCTTTAAAAATTATAAGATATAAATACTTTCCTTAACTATGATAAGACCCTACACAAGAAGTATTCGATTGTAAATTTGTTTGAGAAATCCATTCTTTATATACTGATTTGATTTAAGCTTCTTAAGGAGATTCATAATAAAACGATGATCCAAAAATAACAGGTAGATTGGCACCTTTATTTGAAGCAATCATTTTCCTAAAATCTTGTTCTCCTTTTTATGATTCCTTCTCATCTAAATTCATTCTCAAAGGATCTGGACGAAATGGAGGCTTAACTTTTTTTAGCATTAGTTATTTAAGATCAATTTAAGAAAAAAAAGGATGCTAAAGAATCTCTTGTATTCCTCCAGATGATCCTAATCTTTAGTTTGGATTTTTATTTAATAGTGACATCAGAAGATTTTTAACATCTTTTGATAAATTTAACTTGAATTTAATTTAAAATAATACATCATTTGGGAAGGTTAATTTAGAATATAGAATATCTTGATAAATTTAATTTGTATCTGTAGAATAATATGGTGGTAATCCAGTAAGTAATTCATAAAGCAAGGCTCCCAAACAATAAAAATCTACAGTTTAAGTGTGTCCTTATTTCAAAAGCATCTCTGGAGCCATATATTCTGGAGATCCACAAAAACTATAAGCTTTTTCTTCTCTACTTATTTCTGGTTTACTTAAACCAAAATCTGCTATTCGAACATGCCCTTATATATCCATCAAAATATTTTCAGGTTTAATGTCTCTATATAATATATTTAATGAGTGAATTTCATTTAGACCCTTAATAAAAACTAAAATTATTACTAAACTTATTTCAGCTATATAAAAGCGAGCTTGCTCTTCATTCATTCTTTTAATTTATTTCAATTGAAAGAATAATTCTCCTCCTTGGCAAAATTCTAAAACAAAAACAATAAATTATCTTGATTCAAATGCATAAGATAAATGTAATAAAAATGGACTGTTAAGCAAAGTCATGATATTTCGTTCATTTAATACAATCTACTATTTCTTTTTTGCTATGATAAACTCTTTATCAATTAGTTTTAGAGCATAAAATTTTCCTGTGTCTTTTTTTCTAACCAAATAAACTAAAGAGAAACCTCCCACTCCAATATTCTTTAAAAAAATAAAATCTTTTAAACAAACTTTTTGTTCTGATTGGATTTACAAAAACAATGCTTCCAATTTTAAACCTGAGTTCATAAACACATTAAATTGCAATTCTGGCTGAGCTATATAATAATCAATTGGTATTGAATGCTATTAAGAAATGAAGCTAACAATTTAATTTATTGAAGGCTTATCCTTAAGATTGGCAAAACATTCTTGAGGATTTGCATATGTATTATTGTGTAATCTTTACAAAATTTAAAACCAAATGGATTTCATATTATTGCTAAATTTATTAACATTATATTCTTACTGGGCTTCAAAATAAAAGTAATAATCTTAGTTTCCAAATCTCACAACAACGTTATGATGCTTAACTTATTAAATTTAGTCATCTTGATCTAAGCTTTTTGCTTTATGTAAAAATGATGTAGCATTTCCCATATCTGTTTTTATAGTTCTTTAAACTGATTCTATAGCTTCAATAGTTACAGATTGAACAGAACGCTTTTGTTAACTACTTTAATGCTTAACGAAATTTGCATTAATAAAGAATTAGTTTTATTAACCTATGGAGTTTTAAGATGTTCGTTAGTTTTATTTGTTCAATTATTCTTTCATTCTCACATCATTCTTTTTTTGCTTGTACAAATAAAATTTTTCTAATGCATTGTCTGGAATTTAATCGATTGACTAAGGTTTAGTTTGAGAAGTTTTTCGATGACTGGGGGTTGGATGAAATTAATTCAATTGATTTTTTCTTAAAAATTAATCTTAAGTTCCTATTCTTAACATACCTTAATTTGACATCTTATATAGAGTTTAATTAAAATAAATATAAATTACTTAATTATAAATATCTATTTTTCTTCTTCTATATCATCCTGTTTTATATCTATTTATATTTATTGAATATTCTCAATCCTTCTTCTCTTCCTAAAACTTAGATTTCAATAAAAAAACTAAAGAACTTTATTAGTGGTCTAATATATTTATATTCTCTAATTGTGATCAAATTATGAAAATTACTTTTATTATTTTATAAATTGATGGAAACAATATAATTTAACTCAATCTTTATTAATTTTTTTTAAGTTTCAAAATATTTACTTGAATAAGATAAATTAGTTTTTAATGTTAATATCTTCACATATGTTTAAAATTTACTAAATCGAAAATCAGTTTATATTAAAATCAAAAGACTTTGTAAACGAATGAAAAACCATTATCTAAACTAAACATAGACTTTTTAATAGAAAAAATAGAAATTTAATGTATCAAAAACAGAAAACATTTAGAGCTCTAAAAAAACAAAATATATTAGTTTTGTTTTAAAACAATAAATTATGTTCATGAATCAATCTTAGGCAGGAATATCTTATAAAATTATATAATATATAATAATTCAGCAATCAGAAATCTATTAATTATGAGGTTATGATGATAAGCTTTAGACAGATCTATTTGTGGAACTTTTTGATGAAAATTCATCAGCAATTTTTCTCCAATATTCTGCAGATTCTATCACCACTCTGTCTACTATTGATCTTTATTTCTTCTTATACAAAATTTGTGTTTCTGTTTAAGAGGAATTGTTGAGTCTTTATTACCAAAAGTTAAGAGAGTTTTCAATAATATTGTCCATTGAGTGTAGAGATTTCTAATTTTTATATTATTTTTATTAATGAATAAAGTATTAAAATTGAAAAATTCATAAGTATAATTTATTAATTAATTAAAAATTGTTATCTTTAATAAGTTTCTTTTTTAAGAATCTAAATAAATGTAACAATTTAAGTAAATTTATTTAAATTATATTATTATTTAATCAAAATCCTACATTAAATCATCAAGTAATGTATAATATTAAAAAATTCACTAAAGTACTCAGTATTTCCAAATATAATATAACATAAAATTTTATATGTTATAATTAAATTATGGAATAGTAGCCGCTTAGTAATTAAAGAGTAGATTCATTTTTTATATACTTAGCAAAATCTTAACGATGATTAACTTACTTAAAGAAGAGAGTTGACGGCTTATGAATCATGCTTGGATTGTTGCGGCAGCTTTTCAGGATTTTTGAGAGTAAATACATTAATATAGAATTTCAAAGGCATGGCTTCCATGTGTATTTTGTTGTTGTGAAAATCCTTTCTTCGCAGTATAATAAAGCTCTGTAGGTTTAGTGGAAAAATTTGGAAAATATCATAGGAGTTTACCACCAGGTTTAAATCAAATCAATCCATGCACAGTATTTTTTTTGTTGAATTTAAGGATACGGTTATACCAGTAGATATGAGAACAAGAGTATTAGATTTAGATAGATAAATTATATTAACTAAAGACAACATATAAGTTAATATTGATACATGTATGTATTTTAGAATAATTGGTATGGAATTAAATAAATCCTAATTTTTTATATAGATCCTGTAAGAGCTACGTATAGAGTTTCAAGATTGACATAATCTGTTAAAGACATGACATATGCAGCTTTAAGATAAGTATGTGGAGAACATCAGCTTCAAGATTTATTAGAACATAGAGAAATGGTCTAGGATGCAATTGAAGCTTATTTAGACAAATAAACTGAATAATGGGGAATTTATATAGAGGAGGTATTCATAAAAGATATGGTTTTGACACCTTAAATGCAATCTGATTTAGCTGCTGCAGCTAAAAATAAGAGAATTGCTTAAGCTAAAGTTATCTCTGCTTAGGCGGATGTTGAAAGTGCAAAATTAATGAAAGAAGCTGCTTAAGCCTTGGATAGCAAAGCAGCCATGTAAATTAGATTTCTAGAAACTCTTCAAATGTTAGCAAAAGGACCATCTTAAAAGCTCATGTTTCTACCATTAAGTCCTGATTCTTAAGGAGCTCACAATGGATGAAAATTCTGTATTATTAATTCAAAATTTAATTTTAAACATGTAATTCATATTTTTATATATATCTGAATTAATTAAATAGATAAGGCTTTCTTTTTCTTCTTGATTCTCTGATTGTTTTAAAATATGTTTTATAAATTTTACAAAAATTAGGTAGATTAATTAATTTAATTTTTATATTTTAGATTCAAGCATACATTCATTTCTTGCTATTTGATATAAAAGTGTAATTTAAAAATAAATTCATGCATAAGTAAGTTATCAGAGCCTAGATATAATAAAATTGATTACTTTAACAATCTTAGAGAGTGAAATAAATTGAGATGAATCAATGAAAATATGAAATATAAGCCCTCATTTTTACCTTTGGCAATTGAGAAATAACTATTCTCAGAAAACAACTTTAATTCAGAGTTGATTAAAATTGATAAATTTAGATCTTTATTTTAAAATTCATAAAATGAAATTCTAATATTAGTTTTATCATGATTAGAAAAAATGAATTGTAATTACATAAAATGCTAACTCATAACTCATTAATCATTTTTCTTACATCTGCATGCGTTAGCTTTCTGGAACTTATAAGAAGCTTGGCAAGATCCATAACATTTTGATAATGTGTAAATGAAAAGTCAGGACTTTTATTTTTAACAAACTTATTAGCCCAAGAATCGAATAAGGATAAAATATCTTTAATTGAATCAGCCATCACAAATGTCTTAGCATATAAATTTCTATTTTTTGGTTCTCCTGGAAAAGCAATAACAAGATGCAACAAAATGATTCCAATTGCATAAAACTCATCTGCCATTTCATAATGAGAATCTTTAGTATAATTAGCTGTTTAATAACCAATAGTTCCAGTTGTTATAGTATTTTAAGATTTGATAGAATTTAATTCTTCTTCAGGAAGTCTTTCATCAGTAATAATTGATAGTTTTTCTTCTCTAACATCTTTTCCTTAATCAAAATCTGCCAAAGCAACCTAGCCAGTTAATTTTAAACTTTAATTACTTATAAATCTCCTTTGATATTAATTGTAACAAAAATATTTTCAGGTTTTAAATCTCTATGAATAATACCTCTTTAATGAATATACTCTAATCCATCTAAAATTTAATTTAAAATGGATTTAATTTTATTGATTTTTTCTTAATTTTACATAACATTCAAATAATAATATGAAAACGTTAGCAAATCTGTAGGTTGGTATTTATATCCAGGAAAAGAGCAATATTCAAGTTGCATATAAAGATAATATCCATCATTATTTGATTCTATCCACCAAGCAAAAAGTCTTTAGAATAATTTGATAAAAAATACCTAAGGATATTGGGATGAGTCAATTTAGATAAAATTTTGGCTTCTCTAATTTTTCTAATATCAGGTGTGATTGGAGTATTTGAAGCAGTAGTGGAGAAAACAGAAAAGAAATCTAGTTGAGTTGCTTGTAATTTACTCTAAAAATAATTAATTTATGATACTCTTTTGAGAGCATAAATTTGATCATCTTCTGGACGATACACAAAAAATATTGAGACTCCGCTTCTTAACTCATCTTGATTGGTTTAAGATAAGATTATGTAATCATTAAAAAATTTGTTATTTCTAATGAAGGCTGTTCTTGGATCACATTGTTTTTGTATAGAATGGATCTGTTACAATGATTCAATAGCGAAAAATGTCAATGTTATTTTTAATGGAATCTTTTTAAATTGTAAATTGATTTTCTTTCTATTAATTAATTCAATTATTGATTTAGATATAAAAGCATAGGCAGTAGATTTGATTTATCCTGTTGATGTTATAAATCCAATATTTATATCTTAATAAAAAATCTTTATTAATTTATCACAAGCATCTTTGAATTGCTATTTGTTGTCTATTTTTGACAATTACAAAAGAATGTTTCTAATTGCCTTTTTAATAGCTTTTTCGACATTCATTAAATGTTTAAGAAATGGATCATCATTTGTAAAGTCCATTCTAATTTATGAGATTATTAGCATTTGAGAATAATCTTTGCATTCAGCATTCTAAACAAACTCTTATCTCTTCTAAAAACTATCGTCCTAAGTAAAGGAATGTAAATTGATTATACAAGCATCTTTTGAATTAATGTTTAATCAGGTTATTGTATAACTAGTTCAAATTGACGTTCCTCTTCTGGCAATTCTTCTATAACTTTCGATCCATAAAATTAATTGATGATCGAGTTAAAATTGTCTTTATCACTTTTCATTATATTTTTGTGATAATATTTAATTATATTGAATGGATTCATCCTAGAGTGTAAATGACATAGCTCATGTCTTCAAAATAATTTTACTTGGTAATTCTATGATTTACTTTAGGAAGCAGTGCTGTTGGTAAATCATAGATTTTACTCAAATTTACTAAAGACTAATTTAATCTATCTACTAATACTACAATCGGTGTAGAATTTAGTGCAAAAGTCTTGGAAATTGATAACAAAAAAATAAGAATTTAAGTTTGGGATACAGCAGGACAAGAGAAATATAAGGCTATTGCAAAAGCATATTACAAAGGAGCAGTTGGTGCTTTCTTAGTTTACGATATCACAAATAAAAATACATTCCTAGAAGTTGATAGATGGTTACTTGAAATTAAAGATTATTCTGATTAATAAAATCTGGTTCTAATGCTTATTGGAAATAAGGTATTTTTGCATCATAACAATTTTAGAATGACAAAGATGCAGAAAGATAGGTGAGCAAAGAAGAAGCCATTAAGTATGCTTAATCTAAAAAAATGGGATTCTTAGAAACATCTGCTTTAACTGGGCATAATATAGAATTTGCATTTAAAAAAATAGCTGAAGGTTTAATCTCTTTCTAATTTAGAAATTTTAAGAGATATAAATGAAACTCAAGATGATGATGAGTTCCAATAAACAGCAGCTCAATACACAAAAAATAAAGGTCAAACTTCAAATGCTTCAGTCTTAAGAGCAGCTGATCATTAAGCAAAAAAAAAAAATCATAATTCTTCTGGAAGTTGTTGTTGATTAAAAATATGGAAATTTATATATTTTTAGTATTTAAAAATTTTAAGACTTCCTAGCTATTTCTTATTTGAAATAATTATCATTAAAATTCATTTTAATTTCTACGTTAAATCTTCCCATATTACTGCTATTAATTTAGCTTTTATTGCTATTTTTTTTAACTTAAGAACTTTTTAATCAAAAATATTATAATTCTATTCTAAGTTATATTTTACTAAATTTATGTGCTTCTTTAAACATATTATTCAAAATTTAAATTATTTTCCTCCTGAAAACTATAGAAAATTAGTTGTAGTATTTTTCATATTTAAAACACATAATAAATTCTAAAACATAGAAAAACATGACAATTTCAAATGATATTTTTTGTAATTAATCAACCTCCTAAATATTATCATCATTTGTTTCTTAGTTCAACATCTTTATCAAGAACACAAAAATGTTAAAAAACCTATTACTATGTTTTTCTTCATTTATTTAATATGAAAACCAATTTTCTTTTATTTTTTTTAGATTGGAGTGCTCTTATTTAATAGGCATAATATAGAATTAATCAAAAGCAAGAAATTATGGAATTTATCCCATTTTTATTATTAAAATTATTTTTTCTAAAATAGAGTTTCGTTGGTTCGACCTTCTTATTAAATATTGTTTTTTAATTAGAATTCAAATTCATTTGGAAAAAATATCATAAAACTAATACTTTTACCTAATTATTTCTTTTGGTTTAAAAATTTTTTCTAATTAATTGCTATAAATTATATTATTTTTAATGGGGTAAGTCTTGGCATCAGATTATGTTGAATTGTATACAATCCAGGAAAATCAGAACAATCAATCTATGAATTAATCGGTTATCAAATCTAAAATTGAGCGTTCTTAAGTATTAAAATATTAATTAATAGATCTAATCCTAAATAGCCCCTCAAGTATAGCCTAAACCAAAAGTGAATTAAACAAAAAGTGCGAACATTGATCAGATAAAAGGATTAAGAATATACATATCTTAAGAGATGTTTAATTTTATTTATTATTTCTAGTACCAACGAATTCCCTGACTTAGATCCTACTTCATATGAATAGCATACAATAAAGGATGGATATTATTATGGTAAACTTTAAGGACCAAACAGAGAAGGAGATGGAGTTTTAGCTCTCAAAAATCAAGGATAGTAAAGAGGTATGTTTTTATAAAATGAATTTCTAGGCTTTAATGATTAAGAACAATTATACAAATTCTTTGGTACTTATAAAAATGGATAAGCTAATGGTCCTGGATATGCTTTTTTTCACTATGATTACTCATTTTGGGGAGATGTTTAACAAAATTAATTTAAAGGAAAAGGGATTCTTAAAACTAAAGACAATCACTCATATCTAGGAAATTGGGAAGAGAGAAAATTGAAAGTTGGCATTATATAAACGTTATTATTTTATATATCTTAATAGTTAACTTTATTAATATGTAGGATAGTTTAAAGATGGCTTAAGAGAGGGATTAGGAAAATGCAACTATTTTGATGGAACAATTATTATTGGTAATTGGAAATAAGACAATTTAAATGGTTTATGTTAAATTCAATTTCTTGATAATACTGTGTTTTCTGGATATTTTTGTGAAGGTATGAAACATGGATAAGGACTTTTGAAACAATAAAATTAAGAATATTTTGGTGAATTTGATTGCAATGTTAAAAATGGTTTAGGATTGTTAATTTAACCTGATGACAGTTAAATGAATTAATCTTAACATCGTCAAAAGCATAGTATATAAAATTGAAAAATATAATAGCTGAAATGCTCTATATTTAAGGAGTCCAAAAAGGATATTTTTGTGTTTATACTGACAGATAAAACAAATAATGGTTTTAAAAGAAAGATAATAATGAAATAGAAAAGTTAGAATTTATTACAGAAAAGAGAGGTTTAGCAGAACTTTTAGGTTAAGAAAAAAGTTTGGAGCATTCTAAAGTATAAACTTTATAAACTTTTAGGCTGATTTAGAAAAGAATGTTTAATCTATGATATGGGAAGTAGAAGAAATCTAAAACAATTGCACTCAATTTATGTCATTAGAAAAATAAATTGATTCTTAAACAATAAAATTGGGCCAACTTGCAACTTATTAAGAATGGATTGACCAGAATAAATAGTGATATAAACATAAATTCATATTCAAAAAATAATAATTATTATTAATATATTGATTTAATTAATAATTTTGTAAAACCATAATCTAAGTGGTTAATAATTCATTAAATTATTTAATTTTTCAAAAGTAATATTTTATTCTAATGAGGGAATCTTAATAGGATTAGCAATTGATTTTTCAGGTTATTTATTAAAGATTAATATAAACTTACTTACTGTACTTCGCATAGAGAAAGATTCAATAGATGGAGGTGGAACTTTGTTTTTCAATTATTGTCTTCAATCGAATAAAAAGTTTACATTTCAATTTCATTTTCATCAAATATTTTCCTATCTAATTTATTCTTAAAAAAAATTTTATAATACTTTTGAAATGTGGTAACTCCTCGAATTTGTTTCTTATGTAAATTCTAAAACCTTAAAATATTATGTTTTTTACATTATTTCATAATTTCCAATAACATAAAAATGATTTATATTATCAATTTATGTTAGAGAGCTTTAAAAGCATAAATTTCTTTTTCTATTAAATTTCTAGTAAAAAATATAATAATATGAACAGCATCCAAATCTTCTGCAACTTAAATATTTATAATTATTTTATTACAAATAGGAAAGTAATTGAAAGTTTTATTCAGTTTTCTTTAAAAATTATTCTTCTTATATTTATTTATTTTTTTCATACACCAGAAGAATAGCTACAAATTGATAAAATTAAGATGAAAAACAATTAATTAACTTTTATATACTCGTTTAATATAGCATTGAAAGTGATAAAAAAAAGTTAAAATTTTAAAATTAAATAAATCTAACTAATTTTTTTTCGATACATCTGATAAATTTCCATAAAATATGCTACAAAAGTATGCAATTGAGCTTGATTTTTCAGGAAATTTTTAATCATTATTTGTTAAATTAATGAAAATATTTTCTTTAAAAAAAAGGTATTTTGATTTTTATGACTCAATTACTTTTATAAATAGTGTTAAATAGCTTGAATAAAGAAATTGTGTTTGCTGATTGTTAACTTAAATTAAAAAAAATAGTATAAAAATTGCAAATGAAACATTAATTGATTAAGATTTACAATGCAAATTATGTTTCAAAAATAATTCTTTCATGTTTTATTTAAAAATTCTTATTTTTTTTGAATTTGAACTTATATTAATATGATATTAAGATTGTAAATTCATAAATTATTTTTCTAAACTTTAGGAGGATAGATATGTTAAACTTATAGTTTGAAAATTAAAATACTTAAGATAGTATTCCTCCTAAAATCAGGAAAAAAAGGTATTGATTCAAATTAAATAGATTTTTGGCAACACCTTCTCCCTTAACAATAATAGCATTAAATTTGAACGATAATTGTGAAAGTTTCAAAGGAGAAGTTGAGCATCAAAAAAGAATAAAAATAAAACCAATCTTAATTATCAGATTTTTGGAATAGAAAATTGAGGAACCATTTTGAAATTATAATGTGGATAAAAAATTACAAAAAATAATTGTTTAGTCAAATTAGATTAAAATTGGAGCTAAGTTTTATTAATTTTTTATTTCTCTTCTTTATTTCAACCATAAGAAGTTCTAATGTATTTTTTTAAATTAATGCAGGATACAAGAGGCTGAATTTCAGTTGCTTATATTTTTTTTTAATTTTATAATAAAATAATTAGAAATAATATTTTTTATTTATTATGAATCTCTGATTAGAAATCATTTTTCTTTATGAAAGGTCTTTTCAAGGCTGAATCTCTATTGAAAATTATTAGAATTGCTCTATTATATTAGACAAAATATTTAACTTTCTTATTTGAATTATTGAGGCTGTTACTTTTAATAAGAGTTTTTTAGTTTTTTGTGCAATTTTCTTAAATTTAAAGTAGTAATTTTTTAATTACGTCTTCTAAATTATGTTTGAAAATAGAAATAATTAATTAAATTATATGAAATATTTGCAATTGATATTAATTATAGGTCTAACAGTTGCATTAAAGACAACAGATTAATCTAGAATACTGGATCCAAATGATTTGATGTTTTAATAAAAAGATATTTCATCATCTATAAATATTTAAGAATAATCATTTGAAACAACAGATCAATAAATTTTGGTCTAAGAAGATGTTATTTAAAATAGTGTATAGCTTATTTTTTAAAATTAGATTAATGAAGTAATGACGGAGGCTGAATTATAGCATGCATTAATTACTAAAGATGATTTAAGTGACAAGCCTGATATTTAGATGGGAACTTAAAACGCATTTTTTTTATAAAAAAGAAAAAATTGATTTAGTATAATAATAAATTAATATGCATTTTCTTTATTGATATTTTGACTTGCTCTTAAATAAAAAAAACAAATAGTTTACAAAAAGTTGTTGTATAACATTTGATTAATATATATTATTTATCACTAATCATAATAAGTTGATTAATGACTCAAATGGCTTTATTTGAACTCATACATTAGTATATACTTGTTTTATTATTTTTCTGATTGATTTTAAAATTCGAGTTTTTTTATTTCATTTATAATTTAGCACTATTTGGACCGGAGTTGCATGAATTTGGAGATGAGAATAATTTTCTTTCATGACTTCTAAGCCTTAATGGAATAGAGAGAAGATTTTTGGTACCAATAAATTTATAAGAAGGACTATTAGGAAGTTGAGGAGGAGTTTAATTTGTAGGGCTTTAGTAAATTGATGTACTTCTAGGACTATAACTCGAAACAGTATGATCCTATAAAAATCTTTTTCTTTTAATAATAATAGTTTGCCGATTGTATTTCTTAAAAATAATATTAGATCGAGCTTCTTAGGTTGAACATCTTTTAAAGGGATCTAACTCTAACATTTATTATAAGAGAGTCTTTACAGCAGGAGATGATTAAACTATTGAAAAATCTACTTAACCTGATTCATTTCTTTAAAGAGTTTCCTAATAATCTTCTACAATAAAGGGGGATTATCCTTAAGTTAACATCTGATAAAATATGATTCCAGCACTGTAACAATCAGCTTTATAACCATAGAATAGATCCTTCAATATTTCTGGTGCCATATTACCTGCAGTTCCACATCTATGATATTTATATTGACCTTCTTCATTGTAAAATTCTGCCAATCCAAAATCTGATATGACTATTTCTTCAAGATTTGGTTTCCTAAATAAAATATTTTCTGGTTTTATATCTCTATGTAAGACTCCCTTAGAATGTATATATGTCAAAGCATCAATAATTTTAAAGATACCTTTTATAGCATCATCTTCGGTAAGTGTTGTTTTTGAAAGAATATCATCTAAATTACCACTTATCAATAATTCAGTTATTATGAATATGTATTTTTAAGATTCAAATGTTTCAAATACTGTTATTACATTTGGATGATCCATTTTTCTAAGTATTTCTAACTCCTTTATCACACACTCTGAGTCAAATTTATTTGATAATTTATCATAAATTTTTACAGCAAATTCCTTTTCATCACTCTTCCTTATCAATCTATGAACCTATCAAAATATCAATCAACTATTATACATCTGCATAGTTCCCACTACCTAATTTATTACTGATAATGAATAAATTTTTTATCTGTTTTTAAATACAGAATTTTTTTAATTCTTTTAGCCAACCATCTACATATCCAAAAAACTCTAAAGAAGTTGAATTTTTAGTAATTCTTAATCCTTAACCAACATGTTGTATCTCTATAGTCTATATTATAGCATTTGTAACATCACACCATAATTCTAATCCCTTTTTATATTACAAAAAATTTACATTTTTTTTCAGTTTTTTTATTATTGGGCCATGTCTTTTCAAAGCCTTATTCTTATATGTTTTTTTGTTGTTAGAATAGAAGAGAAAATAATCTTCTTTAAAATCTTATTCTCTAATTTAAATAAACTCATTGGTCCAAAACTAGCAATCTGCTTGAATAAAAATTGAATCTGTAGACATTTTAGATTTCATTAATAAAATAAATATACCTTGATTTAGATTTATTTTAATTTATATATCAAATAAATATATTAGTATCGTTTCAACATTTTATAATTTTTACTGATATCAAGTAATTGAATATATCATAATTTGATAATAAAGGTCTAACAAGTTTTACAAAATTTTTATTCAATTTATTTAGTTACTTTTAAGAAAGCCTTTTATAATTTGAGTATTTTTATTATAAAAATAAGAGATTTTTAGAGTTATTAATAAATATTAATTCATTCTTCCTTCATTCTTTTTATAATCTAATCAAATTAATTAACTTTCAATAGAATATAGAATTGATAAGTAAGATTTATTGAATAATAGTTTTGTATAAAGTCTAACCATTCATTATTAATTCTGAATTACTCAAACTTATCATGAAATAGTAGACCCTTATTCATAAATACAGATCCAATAAAATTAAAGTTCAAATAAATAAAAATCGAAAATTAGATTTTCAATTTGCTATAATTCTAACATAGTATTAAAGAATAGAAAATATATTACTTGTATATAATAAATGAATTGCTACATAATAAAAGTTATAAATGAAGAGAATTAGTTTATTATTAAAAGGATTGTGGGTTTATGTTAATTGAAATAAAAAAATAAAAGAATTGAATAATTAGGTATATTTATTATACTAATTAATTATTTTTCAACTAAAAAATAATGGATTAATAGCGTTCATCACTTTGTGTAAGTATGCATAATGTAGAGTTTGCAAAAGATTATCATTACTTCATTACTGTATAATTAAATGCTGATGGGGAGAAGGTAGAATAAAAGAATGATTTTATAATAGAAAAGAACAGATGTAAGTGCATAAGTGGCAGCACCAGTATTTGCAGCGAGTACTTTTATAATACCACTTTCTAATTTTAAATTGGATATAAATGATTACTTGCATGTAAAATTATATGTTATAGATGAAAGTTTGAAGCCTATGTAGTAACAGATCGTGAATAAGGACGTGGACCAGATTTAGACAATTAAGGTTAGGCAAGATTATTAGGAGAGTGTATATTGAAATTAGGTGATTTCACAGGTGCTTTGACAGATATAAGTGGTACAGGAGTGAGATAGCACTTGAAATTTGTTCGTAGAAATGATAAATAAGTGACAGTGGGAAGATTTATAGTAAATCTAAAATTAGTAGGAGAATAAATAATTCCAATAAATGATGAGAAACCATTAGAATCAGATGAAATATTTCAACCACTTCCAGCATCAGATCCATTCATGAGTTTTGTATGGAGGTTGAGAGTTGATATAAGAGCTTGTATAGATATGCCATTGCATAGAGATTCTTAATCAGGATTACCTAGAGGTTTTGTTAAATTAGGTTGGTCATAATATGATAATTAACCTCCTTCTGAACATCATATGCATTTAACTAAAATTAGAGATTAAAATCGTCATCCGATATGGAATTAACAATTTCTAATACCAAATCCATAAACCATAACGGCTTTAGATGGATATTTATATCTTTGTTTAATGGATGATATTGGATAGAGAGAAATTGAAAGTGTTTATTTTCCTATCTCTTAAATGAGACCTTTCTAACCAATGAATTTTGAATTATAGTTTAAATATGCAGAATATGAAGCTAGACCTCGTTTGTATATGTCAATAACATTAGAAATGGCTGATAAATAAAAATTTTTAGATGAGTTAATTGATATAATTGTTAAAATGATACATTATGATCCATTACCATATGCAAGTAGAACTAATTTGATAATGACTTTAAATTAAACAAAAATAAAGGAAGTTCCTTATTCAGTAATAGATTTAAAGGGAGCTCCAACTTTAGCTTAAGCTTTAAGTAATGCTTAATCTGATGTGTTTATATCATCAATAATGAAGATTCCTCCTCATAAAGCAGACAAAGTATATAATGCAGTAGCTGTATTTACTTTGCCGAAATCTTAATTGGAAGTATTGTTTATGTTCATGTTAATAGAGTGGAATTGCATTCTATTTAGCCACTAGGGATGACACTATAAAATCAATGCATTCTATGCCAAATGGAATAGTAGGATATTCAGAAATAATTGATGATTGGCTTCGTAAATTATATTATTCCAAAGAGAAAAAGTAAGCTTTTTTTCCAATTACTTGGTCAGATGAATCTAAATAAAGACCTTTATTTATGAATAGTAGATGTTAAGTAGAATTAACTTGTATGGAAGCAGCTGACAATACTGCAATAAGTAGAGTGTCATCATCTAAAAAATCTAATAGATTAATACCTAGAACACCTGAAATGAAAGCTTTAGCTGAAAATGTTTCTGGAGCTGATAGATCAAAATGGGATATTTTATCAAAAGAATTATCATAAAAATAAGAGATTATTCATAGATTAATGAAAGAAGTAGATGATAAAACAGAAAGTCTTAAAATTACAGGAACTGAAATTGTTGATCTAAGAAGATAAGTTAAATTATTATAAAGTGAAAATTCTATTCTTAGAAAAAGATTAGCGCATGAAGAATCTCTTGAAATTTAATCTATTATTACTAAAGAAATTGCTGTGATGTCTATGGAAGAATTAAGATAAAAAATTATTAAAGTTGCTTAAGCTTATAGAAATGAAAGAGTGAGAAATGAAGAATTTGAAAAAGCTTTAAAAACTGCTTAAAAAGATATTGCTTCAGCAAGATAACTTGAAGTTGAATTAGAATCTTTATAAAGAGTACATCAAGAAAATGCTAAAAAAATGTTAGTCATGTAATAAGAAATTCAAAAAGTGGGTGTATATAAAGAAGCTGTAAAAAAATAAGAAACTGTTATATCTAAATTAGAAAAGTTGATGGAAACATCACTAAAAGATGCTCAAAAAGCTAGATAAGCATAATTGGAAGTTGAATAATTAAAAAGTGAGAATCTGAATTTATAGAAATAATTGAAAGGTATCGTATATGGAGAAGATATTGGAGAATTAGAACGTTATAAATAAGAATGTTAAAGATTAGAGAAAATAGTTGCAAATATGAAAGAGGAGTTAAGGAATAAAAGACCTGTAAGTAATAGTGGAGCTGATTGGGAATAAGAGAAAATGGAATTGGAAGTAAAATTGCATAAAGCAAATGCTAGAATAGAAGCTTTACAAGATGAAATGACATATAATGCTAAGAATTATGCTAAAGAAATAGCATAGTTGAAATTAATAATTGCAGAAAAATAAGCTTTACTAGATTCTTTGACTATGGGAGGATAATGAATAGAAATATAATATATTATTTATATATCAGCAATTTTAAATTACAAAATAATATGAATGCTAATATTTTATGTCTATGGATATATTTAAATTGTTGTCAATCATTTGAGATTGTTTCTTTTGGTTGTTAAATCAGCATAATAATATTAAAGCCAATTAGCTTAATCTTGAACTCCCCATTCGTTATAATAGAATGTAATTACACTTCCTCCTAAAAGAATAGCCAAAGCAATAAGATTGTCTTTCTTCAACTCTTTCTAAATTAAAGGAGAATGCTTAATTCCATAAAATCTAATGTCTCATTTATTTTATTTACCTGCCATACATTTCTTCCATCGTATATCCGTGAATCATCGATTGTCTTTCAATCCCAAATTTAAATGGCTCATACTCAAATGTTTTGACATCAATCTTTTAAGGTCTAAAAAGTTCAGGTTTAGTAGATGTGAATTATCTAGCAATAATCTGAATGTTTTTTCTCATTTATTAAAATAATTAATATCATAATCTAGCTTTTATTTTAGTGCCCATCAAATCATTTACAGCTTGAGGTACTCCTTTGATATTAACTGAATTTTCTTTTGTGGTCCATTCATAAATGTGTTCATATGGTTTTCCATCATGACATCCAATACAAGTTCTCAAAGCATTATCATTAAAATTGAATGCTTCAACCAACCCCAAGGCTTAAGGTTTAATCTTATTCAATAATTCAATCTTTGCTTCATTAAGCTATTTGAATTGTTCACCATTAATCCTACCAGATTCAATCAAAGTATTAGGATTATCCAAAATCACTTACAATGAATACAAATCACATAATTATTATAATATTTCTTTTACTGATGAATTAGCACTTTAAATTTATTCCTAAAATACTAAATAAGTAAAATATTCAGCATATCTTTATGCAACTGATAATAATTGTACTCCTACGACTTCATTCCAAACTTATTAGAAATTCTTTCCTGTACCCATGCTCTCTTTAATCCTTTTTGCAACATTTATTAATTAAATTGTTAAAGTCAATTTCAATAATTATCCATATTCTGTACTTTAATTAGCCAGAGTTTCTTTTATGTGGAGTACAAAATTGAAATAAAATGGAACTTTCTCTGGATTTTTCTCCACATATTATAACACTTTAAGCAAGTATCTTGCTACTTAAAGGTACATTACTTGATTCTCTCCTTCTAATGTAACATTAGGAGCAGTATCAAAATAAATGGCAGGAATTCCTGAATAATGTGCATAACCATGACCGCCACATGATAATCTACACCATTCAGCTGTATCAACAACCCATTAAGAAGACCAAGCTTTTAATGCACTATAAATAATATTAAAATTTTTAATACCTCAAAATAGCATGTGACTATTAGAAAGTACTAAAGTCTTTCTTTAAAACTCTATGGAAATTATCATCCACTAATTCCATTATACGTAAACCTACAAAAATCATTCCATAACATGTGGCCAATCTTGGTAATAATTTGTCTTATTGAGTTTAATATTCAAGTACTGAATTCTCTACTCCTTTATCATTTGTAAATTGTTATCTAGTTATTGAATATCTAATAGCAACTGTCAAACTCTAAGCAGCCATTCTTGGATAAATGAAAATAATTAATTATCTTGATACCATCATTGATGCATATGATATCTAATATGAGATAAAATGTTTACCTTTTCATTTCCATGTCTTGAAAATTATCCATTCTCTATCCTAACATATCTAGCTAATAAACTATTCAAAGGAATTCTATAATTATCAAATGCCAAAAATCCATTATCTTTTGTAGAATATCCTAACTTTGGTCCAATATCTCCAACTGCAACACCTTTTAATGGTTTATGTGTTGAGTTATCTCTAATTTAAACCATAAAAGGATGAACTCCTTTATTCTTACCATTGAAAATCAATTTAGCATAAACAAGTGCATAATTAGATAAAAATCCAAGTTCTCCTGGCCAAACTAATAAATATTTATTAATGTTTACATTTGACAGCTGAGACTGAAGGTGTGTGTAATATAAAGTCATTAGTTTATGTATTATAGGTTGCTGTGGTTTCTAAATTTTAGACGTCACTTCCATGTCCAATTTCTGTTTGAGCATATGCGGCTACAATTTCCATAGTTAGAAATTTAGGACCCCAGAGATTGAATTATTCATCTGTTCCAAGAAATCTTAAAGCAGGAACAGTCATTCCAAATGATACCGCTGAAGGTGTTGTACCTTAGAATAAACTTAACAAAGGTGCCCAATGAGCAGCATTACTTAGATTGAAATGCTAATGCATAATTCTTATTTTCTCATATGATTTAATAATTTGTTCTTTACGTCCCCAATTATGATAATCAGGATGATTTCTAATACTTGGTTCATTTGCAATAATCTTTTAAGCTTTCATAAATGTTTGATAGGTTTCTTCATTTCCATAGATAAGTTTAGTTAACTCTTAAATAGGAAATGTTACTCTATCTCTAGCTTCTTAGAGCAATTATGTTGTAGGATGCATTTTTAGTGCGTAATTTAAATTAATATGAAATTTAATGAACGCTATAAAATTATTAATAATACCATAAAACTTAATTAAATTAAAGATGATGCATAAGTCTTAAAAATAATATGAGAAATTCAAAAATCATCTTAAAACTTAAGAATAAGAATATAATGACATATTTTAATAATAAAAAATTGAACCATAAACTCAAACTGTAATTGAAAAATAATAGAAGAGAAGATCTAAAATTCGTATAATCTTTACTAATAAAACAATTTAATAATAATATCCTGAATCTTAAGAATCAAAATCTGTAGCAAAGAGATCTTGGCATAAAGAACTTGATAATTTAATCAATCCCTCAGAAATAAAGGATGGTAAATTTTCGAATGAAGAAAAACAATAAATTATGGATATTGTGCATAATTACTAAATTTAAAATAATCTAAGTGATTAATAATTAAAGGATTATATTGAATTGAAAACACTAGGTCATTCTAAGATTTGGCTAGAAATAACAAAGTATATACCAACAAGAACAGTGGATTCAGTATATAAATTAATAAGACGTAAGATGGATAGTAAGAATAGATAAGGATATTGGAATAAAGAAGAAGAGATTGAATTAATTAGATATGTATAATAATATGGAAGAAAATGGAGAGAAATTAGTAAACATATTAATAGAACACCTGATAATATAAGAAACAAGTATAATTAAATTGGAGAACATAATCATTTATTTAGAAATAAATCTTTTTGGACGATTTAAGAATTTCTTATTCTTATCAATAATATTCATTCTTTAAGTGGTTATCCTCTCTTATTACCAAATTATGATTAAATTCTCAAAAAAAGATTTGGAGATAACTTTGAATAAATCACTTTTAGACTTAATTATAGAAAAATGAAAGTTGAAGATAAAGATATATTTGATTAACTAAAATCTATTGTTAAAATACCTTAAAATATAGGAGTTACTATAAAATGGACAGAAATAGCATCTGAAATTAAAACAAAAACAAAAGATGATTTAAGATAAATGTGGTATAAATTGAATGGAAATAAATTTTGATTTCTTATTGACTTCACCAATGCATATATATATAAAGAAAACTCACAATCCATCTCTCAAAAAACATCAATTAATTTTAAATGTTCTTTGATCATGTAAAAAGTAATTACTTACTTCTATTAACTGATTGATTATTTTCTTTATTATTATAATGCGAGGCGAAAGTTTTTAAACCTTCGCCTCGCTCAACCTCACCCACGTTTTCCTGTATTCTTATTAATACCTAATTACTCACAAGTTTTCACTTTAGCACCAAATTATAAATCATTTGCTTTTGAATCCTTTTCCTTTACTAAACTTCTTTCTTATCTATCATATTTCATTTATTATTTAATTTTCTCTTTCTCTCTTTACTCTTTCTCATATTATCTTTAAACTTCTTATTATTATCTCACTCTAGAAAATATAGAATATAATTTTTTAACATTTCTTAAGCTTTTTAATATTATTAAGGTCCATCTGCTCTTCCTTATGTTAAAATATGCTACCACTTGATTATATTAAAATTTTCTAATAATCTTCCATATTCTTCATCAGGTAAATAAAATTCTTAATCTAACTTTTTATATAGAGTTAATTCAATACTTAAATAAATCCCAATGATGTTAATAACTCTACCATTTATTTTATATTGAATAGTCTTGTAGCCAATGTCTTAACTGTCATCTTTATATGTTTAAACTTATCTTCATTGGGATTATTTATTATACTAATTTATTGTCTTTTAAAATACTTGGTTATTAACTTTTCTAATAGACCTAAAGCATCTGCAAAAGCTAATGGATCTTCATTCTTATCCATAATTTCAAGTAATGATTTCGTTTAGTTATTTGAAATCATTTTAATAAATTAATTATTTTTATAAATATAAATTCATTTCAAATTTGTTTTTATAGTGATTCTACTAATCTCATTATATCTTCCTTTGTTCCTTCCAATTATTCATTCATTAAAGTAGAATGACGACGTAATTAAGTTTTACGTTTTTAAAGAATTGGATCTAAATCAAAATTCTCTGATGGTTTTTTTACTAATTATTTCAAAGAATTTGATATTAGTTTATAATTTTAAACTAAATTTGAAACATTTTAGTGTGTAAAGATTTATTTCAAATTAATAATTTTCTTTTAATTGAATTTTGAAAATATGTTTTCTTTTGAATTCAATAATTATCTTGTCTTCATTCTTGATTCTTCATCATAAAAATGCAAAACTATCTAATGATTTTCCTTTTATTCTATTTATTCATTGTTTTTCTCTTTAAATAACTCTTAAAATTTACGAAACTTTATCATCCAAGGATACAAATCAATTGTAGCAGGATTAGAAAAGTTTTTAAGATTTTTTTCAATTTCTTTATCCAAACATGAATTTATTAATTTATGAAAATCTAATTCATTTCTTTATCCTTAAACTTTCATATATTCAACATAAGAAACAATCATTGGATCAACTTATTTACTTAAAGAATAATAATCATCAACTTATTCTATAAATGTACTAAATGTCATAGTATTTTTTGCAATTATTGTAATAAACTCTTATTCAGGATGATTTTTTATATATCCTTATAAATCAAAACACTATTTTAAAGTTTGAGTAAATTATTAAGGTTCTCTATCATTTAAAGATTTAATAAAAGGTAGAACATTTTAAACAATTTATAAAATAAAGTTAAAAAATGCTTTTTTTGTTCTTAGAATAGCTTCCATCCATTAATAAATTTTTTATTTAGGTGAATACTTCAATTAAGTACTAATTTAATTTAGTTTATTTTTTAATTCAATCAACCACTTTTCAGGTATTTTTAACTACTAATAAATATTAATTATAATACATCATCAATAGAATTACTATGATCAATGATTTAATCTTCATCAAGATCAATAGTAACTTTTCCTTATATTTAAGTAAGTAACTAAACATATAATTTGATTAGTGTACAAACTATTTATGTTTTTTTTCAAAGCCTATGATATAAGGTTATAATGCTTAGGCATATTCCCAGATATCGATATTTGAGCAAGGAATATAAATGTTGGACCATTTTAGGGGTTTAATCAAAGAGAGCAAACCTTCAGTAATTTAAGGGATTTCGCCTAGATTGAATAGTATTTGAGAATACTGATATTGGAAGAAAAAAAAAGTATTTATTTTTCTGAGATAATGCACATAACAATTCTCATAATGTTTACTAGTGATAATCGACTAAAGAGAGGACGAAAAGTAAAATTGGTTAAAGATAGAATTTCTTGATCATTAGTTCTAAATCTAAGTATTTCATTATGAACTTCACATTTAGTAATTCTAATTTCATGATTTTATTCTTCATCTGTGAGTAATATTTTTTTATTGAGAGTAAATAACACACTTATATAAAATTCTAAGATATCTTTATCCATTATATAATCTTATTCAAGTTATTTCAGATGTAATACTTCCTATTAATTCCATTCTTATTCAGCTCCATTTAAGCCATGAGTAAGTACTAAACGTTCAAACTGTTTAAGATGATCTTCACATAATCCAATTGAATTCAATCCACGATCAATAATATAGTTATTATAAAAGAAAACAAGAAATTATCTTTGTAAATCGAATGAAGGAGAATGTGAAACTAATGTTATTGTTTTTGGAGCATAAATTAATTATGTATCTTCATCTAAAATTAAAGGATTCTTGATAATTTATTTTATTGCTATTTTAGGGAATGATTTAGATAATTTCTAAAAATGTTTATTTTTATTTTTAACATAGACTTTTTCCTTTTACTATTTATAGATAATACATAGTAGAGTAAAGAAGTACAAAACTTTTATTGTCCCTTTTCATCTGTGAGTATAAAGTGATTTAATTGATCTTGACTTCGAATATCTTCAGTTACAGTTTATTCTAATCTATTTTCAAGATCTATTCTTTTCAAATCTTGATTATAATATTGCACTCCATTGGGAAAACACCACTAAATAATATTAAATTGCATCTACCATTTTGATATTTTCAATGTAATCTGGAGCAGGTTAATCCATAGGATGCATGATAATTATTTCCGGTTCTTGTTTCTTATTTAGTATATTAGTTAATGAAATTTCTAAATTTACCTCAAAAGCATACCATTTGATTTTGTTTATAATCCAATTACTAAAAAATAATCGATTAACATATTATTAAAAATGGTCAATTAATATGATTTCCACATATTTCTTAATACTAAATATTTTATTAAGAGACTACTATACATTATAATGGTAAAATAATTCTGAATGTCCTTAAAGGAGATTATATTTCTTAAGTAATTCCGCATCATGAAATATAATTTGTGTTTGAAAATTTCATACATTATCTTACTAGATTATGAGTAAGTATTTTATACATAAACATTATCAGAAGAAAATATCATAAAATCCATAATAAAGCCATTTTTGAAGATTCACCTTTAGACAATTTAAAATAAATTGAATGCATGATAAATATATGTTGACTAGTTAATCCTGTAACTATCTAATTTAATAGAGGAATATTGATATGACTATATTCAATGTATCATTAATAATCAACAACCAAAGATTATCCCCTAAAACTTTTGATAATTTTTTTGTCTGAATTAGGTAGTAATCAATTAAATATATCATTTATAGAATTCAAAAAAATTAATAGACTTTTCCCTTAATTCCCAATCAGAACTAGATATAAAATTACAAATAGAGAATTTTTAATTATTGAATCTTGAAGGATCTTGTCAAGAAAATACTCTCTCCTTTACTCCTTTACAGGTATTTACATAAAATTCAACCCATTAGATCATAATCATAATAGCATCATCATCCAATTGAAATATTAATACTTAAATAATAGATACTCTAAATATATTTAAGATAAAAATAAATGATGTAGAATCTTTTATCTCTATAAAGTCTATATAATATTATTGACAAAAAAGAAAATGAAAAGATTTATTATTTATTTATTACTCAAATTTCAGAAAATTGTATATTATAAGTTTTCTTATCCCAAGGATTCCTTTTTGGATCATGATATTCTCCTGGTCCTGGTGATTAATTTTTAGAATTCTCATACTAAAATCTTTTTTCCTATTATAAATATCAGAAATGATATTAAACTTATATATTAAAGGGAGGTGCAGGTTTTTTAATCTAAAAGGGCATTTTATAAGGTTCTTTCTAAGGACTTTTTTTCAAATTTTCTTCTTCTTCTTCTAATTCTTCTATTTATTTTTAATCTTTATGCTAAAATCTAGGCATTGAAGACATAAAAGGAGGTTTCTGAATTTTAAGAGAAGGATCTTCTTCTTCTTCAATTTTAGTTCTATATTCTATGGTATAATTTTTTGGATCATATGAACCAGGAGCAGGTAATTCAGATTTATTTTATGATCCTGGTCCAACTCTTTTAGTTGAAGATTTAAAAACTGATTATGCTCCTTTATCTGAACTTTTATTATTAAAATCGTATGATCCTGGACCTGGCTATGATACTTAAAATTAATTATCATCAAATCTGGGTTAATTGTATCCAAATTTACCAACTGGAGCTCTTTCTAATTTTTTAACCAAATTATATTCTAACTAATGAATATTAATTTAGTATATACAGTTTATTTAGGATTATAAGTTTAAGGACCTGGTCTTTTTTCAGTTAATTTGGCTTCAAAACGACTATTAGAAGACATAAATGGAGGTTATTTATATGATAAACTTTTATTTGCTAATAAAACATCGACTTTATAATCTCCTGGTCCTATAGATGTTGAAACTTATTCTTCTCCAAATCTTTTAGATTTAGAACCAAAACATTATGTATCTATTTTAGTAGCTGATTTAGAATATGTTGAAGCAGTTGTAGAATCTTTATAATAATATCCAGGACCTGGTGTAGCATCCTATATTAATTATATATAAATAATTGATTACTTCTATGTATTCGATTTCTTCATCTTATAAATCTGCGAATTGAGGACTTGAAAGCAATTAATTTCTTTTTTTTTCAAATTAATATCTCATAAAACTTCTAGCCTTTTACCCTCTCTCCATATCAAATAATCTTTAAGTTTTTGATTGAAATGAACCTGATGGCATCAATTTATATAAAGGTTAATTATCTTCAAGAATATCATAATTTCCAGGACCCACTAATTGTAATTTCTCTTTTGATACTACAGGAGCTAATTTAGGTTGTTTTGATTTATGCCAATTAAATCCTTTATTTTTATTTTCCTCAAATAAATCCTTCAATTCATATTAACCTGGACCAACTGAATCATTCTTTAATCCTGTTAATATTACTTATGGATTTTTATTCAACTCCAAAGCTTTTTGATTTAATTTAGATCATTACATCCATTATCTGTATAACCATGAATTTGAGAATTACTAGGAATAGAAGGAATTGATTTGTATTTATTTAACTTCATTAATTATTCTACTAAATTCTCTTAAGTGGACACTTAGTAACGCTATTGTTAAATTACTTCAGGCTCATATGACCCAGGACTGAATAATTACTATTTATTTATGTTTACCCTGGATTTTCATTCTTACTATCTTCTTAAAATCTTTTGCATTTAGATGCAAACACTGAATGTTATTTTGGCATCTCCAGTATTTACACTTCTGATTAAGTAGATTATAGAACTACTTTTTATCTATTATTTATTCATCATATATAGATACCCTGCATTCACAAAATTAATATTATAACTCCCTGGTCCTGGAAGAGAGCTCTATTTTATAGGTTTACTACGAAAAGTTTATGTATTAAATGGTGCAACTGATTATCTAGTAGCTTATGTTTTCTATAAAGTATATGACCCTGGACCAACCTATCCCCTCAACATTCATAAGTACATTAACTGGAACCTAAGTGATTGATTGGTTAAGATCTCTTTCAGCCTAATAAACAAAGGCCATTATAAATATTTATAAACTTATTTCAAAATCAGTTTTTCGTTTATCATAATTCATCTATTTACTCCTAGAATATTTGTAAACTTTTTTTATTAAACTTTCTCCATTAAAATTTTCTTATTTCTTCAGAATCTAAATTTCATTTATTCCTTAATTCAAATTTATCTCTATTCATAAAAACTTTTTAAAAAAAAATAACTATAATATTTATCCTTCTCTACATTAACAAAATAAATTAATATTCTCAAACCCTAACTTAAAATTTAGTTACTTTTATGAGATTCAACCCAAGTATTCTTATTATCTTTTTATGATCAAAAAATTAATAATAATTCTTAGAAGTTATTCAAATCTTTTTTTTTAGTTCCCTCATCAATTATATTCATGTTTATTTTTCATCTATTTTAACATAGATTATTATTCTAAATTAGTTTTTATTAAATTAATTAATTAAATCATTAATATAGAATTTGTCTAATTGTAAAATATTTTACTCTATAAAAAAAAAGCATAAATATTTGTTTCAAAATATTATCAATGTTTAATCATAATAGTTGTCTAAGTGATTTACTTTTATTAGTTTATAATTCTGGTACATATTGAGAGACAGCTTCTGATTCATCCATTTCTGAAGTTGATCTTTGAGCTTTTTGAAAATTCTAAAATCTTCTTTTTTTTTCTTAAGGATTCAAAGTATTTGAAAAGTAGGGATGTTCTAAAGATTAGTAAACAGTAAATTATTATTTAAATAGCATTTTCAAGATTAAATCTTATGCCTGATTTGGTGTTTAATTTGCCTAAAGTATGGACTGTACAGTGGCCTAATCATAATTATTATAAAGTTTGTTAGTATATCTAAATATATATATTAAAATATATGTGTACAATTGGAATAGAATTGATCCACAGTTTTTTATATCTTAAGAATCGATTTCTTCTGATTAGAATGCTTAAGAAAATTCTATAATTTTGATTAAATCAGATTTAAATAGAAGAAATTTAGCTTGGATTGTCGCATGAATAATGTGATTCTCGTGTAAGACTTTTAGTGCCCTTAAGAGTTGCTTATGTCAGACTTTAAGACTTACAATAATAATTGATTAGCATTGCAGATGGCTGGATTTTGGATTTTTAGCCAAGTAATTCTATAAACTAGTTCCACTAACATATTCTGTGACTACATAAGGTTGGTTATTATATAAGAAGCATTCTCTAACTCTAAGAATATTTGGGTGATTCAAAGATCTCAAAAATGGAACTTATCTCTGTAACTATACATCGTTTAAGGATTTCAATGTATATGTTTCCTGAGAAAATTGATCCAATATTTTTGAAGAATCATCTATATCTATTTGTTTATAGAATTCTACAAGATTATCGAAATAGATAAGACCTCTACTAAGAATCCTTAATTAATCCAAATCTTTATGATTGGCTTTGAAGAATTTGATAAGATTGTTGTGTTTGATTCCAAAGGCTTGAATTTTGAACCCTTCTATGTACCAATGTAACACATTTTCTAATGTAAATTTGTACTCATATTTTGGATGACTCTTTTAAATGTAAAAATAAATTTATACATTCTTGCCTATGGTTAGTTTATCTTTATAAACATTGACTACATAATGAGTGTTTAGAATATAATGTAATCTTTCACATTTGAATTAAAGTATCATATTTTGATTATAATTATTAAATAATCAATCCTCCTCGAAAGTCTAGTATTTCATTTTAAAATCATTTTAGAAGGCTGCATCATCATTCTAGGGCAACTTACTTGAAGCTATAATTTTAGCTCCCTATTCTAATTAAAAATCTAACTTGTATTTTGTATTCCTATATCTAAGTTTTATAAATTATTTTATTTACCGTTTTATATAATAGCATAACCAGAGAGTCAATAAAGCTAATAACAAAAGCAGACCTAATATCAAAAATGTAAAAAGTGTTCTGTTATGGTTTAAGAATTTAGCAAAATAATTTGGCACTGGTACTTGTATGGTTCTATAATATACTTTCATTTAAGAAGTAGAACTATTTTAGAATAAAGAAATACTTCATAAAATTATCAACAGTCGCAACAACTCCAACTGAAGCATATTCATATGTTTATAAATTAGGAAAGTCAATTTCATAAATAATACTTCCATTATGATCAGCTAGACGATAAGATTGAATTATTTTTTTAAATATTTTTTCATCATTAGCCTGATGTTCTTCATATTGTTCATTAGCACAATAACCTAGCATTTATAGTTTCTTTTCATCTTAGGCAATAAATATATGATAATTGATTTAAACACCATCTAAATTGCATTTGTTACATGTAGCATGTTCAAATTCAATATTAATAGAATCAGATTTTGATTTATCTAAATGCCATTTAATATGACCATCATTACCAGCAACTATTTTGCCAAATGGAATGTCTTTACGTTGTTAATAGTAATGATTTGTAATATGATAATATGCAGGTGTTGTAGAAGTTCCTTTTATAGCAATCCATAAAGTTCCTTTATCTACTGACATCATTTCAACTAAATAGTCCTTTTCTGATATATCAACAGATTCATCATAATCTTCACCAATAAAAGAATTCATGTCCTCTTTGGAGTAACTAAAGTTTATATTAGATGAGCATGAATAAAGTTCTATTGCTAAATATCCTTTTGAAGGAGCATAAGTCTCATAATAATCAATTTCATTTGGTTGGATATATCCACTATGATGTCTTTCGATTGGCAATATTCTTATATCATTGGTTGAAGCACTAATTTCAATGAATTAAGTTGGATTCGTTCCTCCACCATTTTCAACATATTTCTTGTTTATCAAAATAATTTCATAAATTCCTTTATCTTTAGGTAATTCATAACTACTAGAGATAGGATGTATCAATCTAGTTTTAAGTTCCACCTCATTGAAATCTTCTAAGTGATAATCACCAAATGTTTATTTTTTAATATAAAAAACTTTAATTTCGATGTCTTATAAAGATGTTTAATTCAAAGGTGATATATTAAGTACAGAAATCTATTCGTCATAATTTTCATATAAAAATGTGAGATTTTTTTAAATTATGGCTAAATGAATTCTACCATCTTATAATTTTGCATTGATATAATCACTCATATAAGAGATTGTGTAATTACAGGAGTCATTTGATTTAGTAGATACTTTAACAAATAATTCATCATGTATAAAATGAGATGATTATAAACCAAATTGTTCTTCTTCTTAAATTTTAGATTTATTTTTAAATGCAAAAGCAACATCTTGAACATTATCCAATAACTGTCTACTCAGAACATTAATATGAATATAATTTTCATTTGGTTATGCCTTAAACTATTTACTTGAATTTAAATCATTTTGATTGAATGAATATTAGACAATGGGATCTCCTGTGAATATTTAGATAAATATTTAAACATTGCTATCTTCAGTAAAATAAATAGAAAATTAGGAAGAACTCTTCTTTTCTACATAATCACTATATTAAACTCCAGCTGATAGTTTGACAAAATCATTATCCAACACTACTGTTAATTATCCTTATAATTCATTGGCTTCAGATTCAATTTTAATTATATAAGTGCAATAGATACAGAATTTCTTTTTGTCTGTTGATTAAATTAAAATTTATGAATTCTCATTTCCAGCTGCTAAAACTCTATCAAGATACTTGAATTCAGCATCATTACTATCTTTAACACATTCAGCAATATTACTTTATTGATTGCAAATAAAAATAGACATAGTGCCATATCCTATAAATCTATGTAACTTAAAAAATATATCTTGATTAAGATAATTATAAAACTAAACAATAGTTGGTTATTGATATTTAGCATGTATTGTATTAGGTTGACTATGCATAATTTGAATGTAATCCATATTCATATAAGAGATGGTAAATTCTAATTTAATTGATTAATTAACAGGACTATAATGACTTTGTAATCCATATATTGATATAATCAAATAAGCATCTTAGATCGAAATTTCTTTTTCTTTGAGTTTTGCATTTAAATTATCTTTTGACAATTAAAGATAACTTCCATCAGCATGAAAATCATAAGATCCATCTAAACTAGGATATTCAAATTTTTCACCACCATTAACAGTAATTGCAAAATATCCATTTCCAATTAATTATAATAAAGAAAAGGTCAAATAAGCATCATCTCTAAACTTTTATAAGTTTTTAAATGTGAAATATGTGCACTCTTAACTTTTAATTGAAACTTCATATTTTTAACCTTCAATTACATCTTACATACCCTAATTTATCATAATGTGGAATTGATCATTAAAAGTATACACACTTAATTAAGGATCTTCAAGCCTTTATACAGATATCAATAATATACAATCTGGCCAACATTAATCCAAGGCTGTTGATTTAATAGCTCTATGAATTTAATTGGTTGATCCACTTGATATATCTGAATCATCTGTTTTATCAATAAAAGGCCAATCAGATTTATGTGAAATCTTGTTTAATTTCCATATGTTTAAATGTAAAACAAATTTACCATAAAAAGTAGATGCAAATAAATTTATATCAATAGATTTAGAATTAGGTTGATAATAAAAATGCATAAATTCTTCAATAATTTATAAATTGTATGATTGTTGTAATCCATCAATTAATTATATAGCCAGATCTTATTTATGAATTGTTAATGTAAATCTAATTGGAGTCTTTGATATGCTTTTTACAACTATAAAGATTTCACATTAATGATTAATTCGATCATGTTCAAAATTAACTACTTTATCTTCTTTTATATCACAGAGTTTCTTCATTTTTTCACTTGATAGTAAAAATGTACTAACTTCATTATCAAAGAATTTATATTCATATTGCTCCAAATTATCATATAACATATTTCCTATGTACACCTATAAATCTTTATTAACATCCCCACTTGATAAAATATTTTTAGTAACATAGACAATATCTTCATCATAGTAACTTAAAAAAGAAAATCTCTACTACTCTGTAAATGCTACTTATCCATAATAAGCAGAGTTAAACTCTAAATCTATGACAGATTTAGCATCATATAAAATGAGCTAAAAATTTATATCATAATAAAAAGTTTCATTAGTAATATTATTCTAATAATTTTAAACTTATAATTCAACACATGCAATAAATCTATCGCTAACTAATTGCAATGCCGAATTACCAGTAATCACATCATTATCTGTTTTAGTTGGAATTTCATCATCAGTATCAATATTAGCATAACTAACAAGTTTTTAATTTGGTCCATGAACTAAAAGTGTTAAAACACTATTTGTTTTTTATTCAAATTTAAAGCATTGTTTTTTTTAATTAGAATTAATAGATGATTTGTAAGTTTATCCTTTCTTGATATTGATAAGATTTATCTTATCTTTAGGATGAGTTTCTATAATTAAACCATATTTAGCTAATTCCATTCCTTCAATAGTTATAGAATATTGTCCATCTTTTAATTGAGATTCACTTAAATTAATTGGTTATTCACTAGTTCCACTATATTCATAGCATTTCCAATTAACTAATGAACATTTAGATGCTCTACTGACTAGCATTTAAACATTCTCAGAAGTAACTCTAAAAATAACAGAACTATAATTTTATGAATTAGCTAAATTAAATTTGAAATGATGTTTTTATTCATCATCTATTTCTAAATTTATCATTTGATTTTCTGTTATAATTATTGCTTAATGATTGAAATCAATATTTAGACTATATAATCCTTTACTATCAACAGCAATAACAAACCAACAATAATTTTGATTATCTGGATTCTCACAGTTCTATTCTACTGATTGATATGATTCTCCATTTCTTATTTTTTCAATTGCTTCACACTTACTACCTTTACATGGTTTAGCCATTACTGAGATATCTTCACTACTATCTGCTGATACTACAAAATGATTATCTTCAGTTTAAAGTAACTTCATTTTGTAATTTACAATTCCTTAATATATACCCATAGCCAAGTTTTTATCTTCAATTGTAATGAATTCACTCCTTTCTTTTACTTATATCTAATAACTAATCTTTTTATTGGCACTTAGTTCGATACTATTAAAACTTTCATCCCATAATAAATTATAATTTTCAATTTAATATGTATCAATTGATTGATTTATTACAATATCGCCATCTTGATTTTTTACTTTAATCTTCAATTAAACATCAACATAAGCAGGTATCTAAAGTTTTATCACTTTTTGACCTTGAATTATATATTCATTCTGTTTTGATTTAATTATTGCATCGACAAAAACTTAATCTACATTTATTGTAAATTATTTTCCATATTCATATCTTTGTATCTTAAATTCTTATTCCCCTATCAAAATCATTATTGATTCACTCTATATTCCATCATAAAATACAACTGTAAACCTTGATTCACTTTATATTATTGTTGGCTATACTCCATAAAAATAGAGATCAGTATCAACAAATTTCATTACACATTAATTACATTTTATTGAATATACTACTCTATAATTTGAATTCTATTCTAATGACAATAATTTTAATTTTGTTTTTTATTGTTTCCCAATCTGCAATTTCTATGTTTCCTCTTGCATTACCACTACATTGAATTTACATGGTCCCTTTGTACATTTTAAATCAACTTCCAATCTATCCTTACCTTTTTCAAAATAACAAACTCTTTGTCCTTATTTCAATTTACATTATTCCATAACAACCTCCTCTAAATTTTATTATCAACTATCTATACCGTATATTAATATATTTTCATCATCTTCCTATTCTTCTTTATTACTCTTTCCTTTTTTCTTTTTTTTATTTGAATCTTCATCTTCATACTTAACTAATTAAACTATTGTCGGCAAATTTGTATTCACCTTAAAACACAATTCTTATTTCTTTCCATTCTCCAAATTTATAGACTCAGATTTATTTATTGAACTACTCTATTCAAATAATTTACTTGCATGCTATAGTTATAGATATAAGCAATGAAAATATCATCATTTTTATTAAATTTAAATTTATCACAAAACACAATTCCATTAGCATTTATATTAATAAAATAATACTTTCATAATTTAATTTAAACTAATTATGGATTTTTCACCAGACATTTCAGAAAGAATTGATACTTTAAGCAAAAAATGTTAAGAAAAAAAGAAAGTCATTCTAGACTTTATTAGTCTACTATAAGCTAGAGCTGAACTTGAAGAATATTATTCAAGAAGTCTTGAAAAAATTGGTAAATATATACACAATTTTTTTAAGGTGAATCACTTACTAAATTAATACATGGAAAAGATAGTTTGAAAGATTTATTTATTATTCTAAGAAGTTATTTTCATATTTAATCTGAACAAACTAGAACTTTTGCAAGATAAATTAAAAATGATGTTATTTAAGAATTGGAATAGCATCTCATAAAAGAAGATGGTTGGTAAAAAGAAATGTAGTTTCTCAAATAAAAACATTCTAAAGAAATTCGAAGAAATATTGAAAGTTTAAACTCATTAAGAGATGAATATATTTAAGCAATTAATGAAGAAAAGAAATTTTAACTGAATAAAACAATCCAAAAAAAATTCAGTTACAAGCAAAGCGAGATCAAATTATAAAATTTCATGGCATATTACAATTAATATGTTGAATCTTATTTTTCGGATATTGCCATAGTTCAAGATAAGTTTTCAAATATTGAATTGGAAAGGCGTAAAATCATCTAAGATTCAGGAATAAAATTTTTTATGTTTGAAATTTCTGTTGTTCGCAATTTATAATATGATTTAAATGGAATAAGCCAAAAAATTGAGTAATACAATCCTAAAAATGAATTAAATGAACTCTTTAAAGATTAGCCATCTGATAAGCCTCTTCTAAGTAAATTAAATTTTGAAAACTTTAAATCTTTTATCCACTCTTAATTGAATTTTAAACCAGAGAATCAGATGGCTAATAAAAAAAAGAAACCAATCTTTGATTAAGTAGCGATTCCTGATAATTCAATAGAATCCACTTAATAATTTAAGGAAACTAATTAAATTTATATGAAAATGTTTTAGAATGCAATGTTTAACAATATAATAACAGATGAAACTGTTACAAAACTGAATGAACTTCTTCAATAAACCTAACCAGCAGTATACATCTAATCTTTAGATAAAATACTTAAATTAAGATTGAATTAGGATGATAGCCAATAAAATAGTACAGACTATTAAGTAAGTCCTGAAGGTTATGTTTCATTACACAAATTAATAATTACTTGTCTAGATTATTGTAATCAAAAAAATGATTTTGCTTCAGTTATAATTGAGGCATATTAATTGACCAAATATATTTATAAGTTAATACAATTACCTAATGATAATTAAGAAATAAAAATGAGTATTTTTGGTATGAAATAATAAAATATTTTTTAATAGAAGGTTTAAAAAATCATGCAGTACTTCACAATTCATAGATTTGGATAAATTAGGCAATTCAGTTACAAAGTATACTTGTTAATAATACAAGTGTTTTTGCAGAGAATAGTATTTAAATAATTTAATTAATATTCTAGATGTTACAAAAGAATAGACTTAGAAATAAATTGAAGAATACATAGAGTCACTTTAATGTATTGGATGTGACATATAAATTGTTGAGGCAGTTAAATTGTAATTAAATTATAATGTCATACAGGAAAGTCCCATTTAATGATTATAAGATATTTAAATATACCACTTTTCATTATAAGATAAAAAGGATCTCAAGAAGATTCTTGTTTTTATAACAGACTTTTTTGATACAAATTATAACATTTATTAAGTCAATAAATATTTAACATTTATTAGCTATACAATGAATTACTTCAAGTCTTTGAAAAATTAATGTAATACAAAATAAAAAGCAGAAAAAGAAGAACCTTCTCAATTATTGATACTTTGCATGAATTGTTAAGAGTATATAAGATTTGATTTAACAAATAAACATGCTTTAGTTTGCACACAAGTTACTAAGAACATCGATCATATTGATAAAACATATTCTTTTTTAGAAGAGAATCACTTTAAGTTACAAAAAATTAGATTAAGTTTGATGGAAAAAAAAAATAATATATTAGCGCTTAGACTCATTAGAATAATAGAACTAGTAACTCAAATTTCGACAGTTGGCAAAGTAGAAATATCTTGTTGTTAAACTTATTTAACTGAGATTAACTAATTAAAATACATTCCAAAATCTTCATTAAATCTAAGTTTATATATAGAAAGAATTCAAGTACTTATTGAATAAAAAATAAAAATATTGAAAGATAATTTAAATATCTAAGATGATTAAGAAAATTAGAATTAAAATAGTTCTGAGAGTAAATTAAAAAATTAAATAACCTAAGAGAGTCAATCAAATAAAAATAGTAATAAAGTATATTGTATGAGTGCTGATTAACCAGATATACCTAGTGTAACAAAGGAACAATTGCTTGATCAAATAAATAAAAAGATTTAAGAGTGTAATACTTTAAAGATGGAATAGCAACATTATAATAATCTTATAAATCAAAATTTTTAAAATAATAAAAATCCTAAATGGATGAATATTGATGAAGCCCAAGTATTTTTTCCTCGATAACATTAAAAAAACGCTGTTATCTAATAGGTTCCAATGAAATTAAATGCGAAAAGTGAAATACTTACAAATATATCAACAAATGATTTTGGTTTTTTAGAAGAGTAAACACGAAAATGTGAATCTAATAATTAAAGATTATTTTATTCAAAGCTATTAAAACTAAAATTATAGAGTTCTAAAAAATCATAAGCTTAATAATTATCTGCTGTAATATTGTGGGATGAAGCATAAAAATAGAAGTTAAGATAAGAAGATTTTGATAAGTTTTTAAAAGCAGCTATAGATAATCCAAATAAATATATAAATAACTAATTTTGAAAATCTATTGAAATTTATATTATAAGAATAAATTAATAAAAATTATTGAAAAATGAACCAGAGTACAACTGGAACCACTCCTCATGGATTAGCATTTTCAGGAGCATTTACATTTGGAGAATCTTAACGATTACCATGGGTTAAGAAAGATGATTTAATTGCAAGTAAATTGGAAGTTGAAGGATGCAAGAAATTTGATGATTAACTTAAAAGAACTGAATCTAGATTGTCTAGTAAAATATCAAGAAGAAAATCTAATTTACCATAAGATGAAAAAATGAAAGCAATAAAAGCACCTAATCCACCTGTTGGAGCATACAATATTCATAATGTTTAAGTTATAGATGAAGAATAACTTAAAATACTTTTAGAGAAGAATTAAACAAAAGAATATCAAGACAAAATTAAATAAATGTATACTATACAAACATCAATGGGAAAAAGAGTATCAGGAGGTGATTTAGATCTTCACTAAACATGGGCAATTCATAAACCTGAAGTTGTTAAAGAACATCCAATAGGGTAAATAATAATTTATATATTTTAGTCCCGGATCATATAATCCATCATTGTTAAATTAACATTCATAGCCAGTTTTTGGATTTGGTTACAAATATGAAACTAAATGGGCAAAAGAAGAAGGACCTTCACCTGATTAATATTATAATTCTGAGACATTCAGTTAATTTAAAACATCTACAAGTTGGGCTACAAATAAAGGAAAGAAAACAACTGGATTTGGAACTGCTAAAAAATTATAATTACCAAAATCAATTGATGTAGGTCCTGGAGATTATAGAGAAGTATCTCAAGATCTAGCACCTAAATATTCTATGCCAAAAGCAGATAGAGAATTACCTTCTCATAAAATAGTACCTAGTCCTGATACTTATTCTCCAGCTATGAACTAATTCAAAAAAGCTTTTAGTTTTGGTCATAAATATATTCCAATTTTGACTACTGATTATTTTGATCCTGGTCCTGGAGGTATATTTATATTATCATAATAGCACATGATCCAAAACTTCCACATCCTTCTACTGCTAAAGAAATTAAAATGCTTAAATAAAATAGATCATAACTTGTAACCAAAGAATCTTAATTAAAACCAGGACCTGGTACTCATGATCCTTAAATGCCTCCTCATCGAATTTCACATAGCAAATCTTAATTATCTATGGGAACTGGCGAAAGACATAATCCTAATACTGAATTTCGATTATCAAGAGACAGAGTTCCCTCTCCAGGAAAATATGATATCAATTCAAGTTTATAAGGTCCAAATTATTCAATTCGACTCAAATATGATCTTAAAAGCCATAATAATACACCTGGGCCAGGATAATATGACCCAGATTCTCAACTTGTTTCAGATTCTTTTACCAAACCTCTTGAACATTATACAAAATCATAAACACCACATGCAAGTCTTACAAAAGGCAATAGATCTGATCCAGTACTTTCGAAATTTAAAAATATTGGACCTGGAAGCTATGCTTTACCATTTAATACAGGTCCAAGATCAAGGTTTTTTTTATTCTTTTACTATTAGTCTCGGAAAAGCAGCTAGATTCCCTCCTAAAGAGAAAGAAGAAGTAGGCCCAGGATCTTACTATATTTCAGGAACTATTGGAATCATACCCAAATATCATTTTGATAAAACAAGAGATAAAATGCAGTCTTCATTTTCTTAATTTGAAAAATTTAGCAGATGATTATTATTATTTTTATATCCATATCATTAGTATATATATATATATATTTTAATCACACAATTGTTCTACTCATATCATTTATTGCTATTCTTTAAGCTTAAGATAAATAGTCAGCCACCAATTCTATCAATGTTTCTATCTTTTATTAGACATCTGTTAAAGATCCTATCTAAATCTATTATATTTTTGTTGTCATATCATGTAAATCTATAAAATGTAATTGCTATTTATGATCCTATTTCACATGGTCTTCAAGTGCATTAGGAAGCAATAAATCTAATTATGGTGAACTTTGCATTTATATATGAGTTATGATTCTTGTATATTTTTGAATCAATGTAATTAGAGTATTCAATGAGTTTGATAATTATGCAAATTTTATATTAATATTTATTGAGAATTCATATTATTAATGTAAAAGTTCAGCATAATTTGCATTTTATTCCTTTATTTATTTTAATTAATTATTCAAAATAAAGTTATCTTCTTATCTATCTTAAAATGATAGAGTTTGACTCTATTTATAAAAGTTTTCATTTGCAAATTATATTAATGAATGCTATAATTCAGTTGAACATCTCTTCTGATCTAATTTGGTTTTTTCAATTTCTTAAATTAGAAATTTTATTGTTTACTCTTCTTATTTTTGTATTACATCCTTTTCTATATATAAAATATCAATCTATTTCTAACATTCTAAAATTTATGCCTTCAATTCATTAATTATCAATAATTATTGTTAACAATTTTAACAATTATGCGAATCACTATAATCTGTTATTAATTGAAAGTTATCATCACCAAATTTACTCTCATTTTCTTTGAATTTTATTACTGTTTTTTCTCTTATTTTCGATAAGCGAGCATCAAGCATATAATTTAAATAGCTAGTTTATGATTTTTTATGTAGTTAAGAATTCTTTGAATTCATATATATATATATAATATTTTAAATAAATTACTGTTTTAGTTTAACAATAAAAAAAATATATTTTTATAATCAAAAACGTAATTAAATGTTATCAAAGATTTTTAATTTTGAGCAAAATTTAAATCAATTTCTATACAAATATTTTCAATAATTTTGATACGTGCAAAAAACTATTTTTTATTTAATCTTAAGCAATTTTTTAGTGTTACTTTTATAATTACTTATGAATTTTATTTTTGATGAAACAAACTAATCAAGAAAGTTTATCAATCTATAATGATCTTGCTCTAAATTTTCATATTAAATAAAAATTTTGATATTTAGAATTTTTATATTGATAATTTCGATAATTATTCTGAGAGAACTTATTTAAATATAATTAATTCTTTAAAAATCAATAATTAATAATGATAACAAATACGAATGGAGTAGCATACAACATATATCATTTGTTATGGTTTAAAGATGAATCATTATTAAAAGAGTCTTTTCAAATAAGAATACCAGACACTTTAATTTATAAAAATGGTTTTCCTTAAGTAAAACTAATCTAAAATTAGGTTTGGTACTTTACAAGTAAAGAAGGTGAGATTATGACTAAGAAATCTGAAGCTCGAAAGTCTGAAAATTTAATAAGACATTTTTGTTAAGGCGATAAACCAAATGGATAAGTAATAGCATTCTATATATACCCTTAAAAATATAATCATCCTGATCCTAAAGAGGAGAAACCATTTCCAAATCAATCAAAAAAGGCAAAGCCTCTCTTAGACTTCGATGAAAAGATATGCATTTATTATATAACGAAATAAATGTTCCCTGAATTTGTAAATTCCCAAAATAAACCACCTTCAGGGATATTATAAAAGTTTATAGAACCTTTAGGAAATCATGAATCTTTAATTTAAGCAATTTGGAGTCCATCTGTATGTATACTTTCAAAGAAACAAAACAATAGGGATTTATATGATATGTCTTATGATCCATATGGTGAAAATATAATTTATAATAGAAAGATGCACAACATTTGATGGAGGAGAAGCTTATTCTAGAGTAATTCCTTTAAGAGGGAAGGAAATATCATAAGAAATAAGAAAACAATGTTAGATGATTGTATAGAAGATTACAAATTTAAGTTACGGATAGACAAATTTATCTAGAATAGTATTTTATTTTAAAGCAGACTAAGTAACTTTATAATGGATCTATGATTAGAATAATAAAGTTTGGTTTTTGTATTCTTCTTCAATTAGACTATAAGGAGAGGCTTAGTCATAAATAAAGTTGTATAAGGCCTTATGGGGTAATACAAACGTGAAGAAAAATAATACTCCAATTCCATTTAACACTAATTTTCAAAAACCTCATTCAATAAAAAATATGCTTACAGTAAATACCATGCATCCAGTTGCTTTAATTAAAGATATTGAATGTTTTGAGTGTGGAGTTTTATGCTAATAGAAAGGTGAATATTTCAAAGTAATATTTAGATTTATATAATTTGACGTATGAGTATATAATAAAACATTTTGACCAAGATGCAAATCAGCATCCACTTGTTAATAATATTGAAATAATAAAACCTAAATCCTTTTAGTAATGTGAAGGTCATCTTAGAGATATACATTCACATATTCCACAACTTATTTTAAAGCTTTATCCACATTTAACAGTGCAATTATTTGAATAATTAAAAGTCAATGATGCATTTTTAATAAAATCTATTCTCATTTGTGAGACTTGCTTTTTAAAATATAGTGAATCAGATCCAGGTATTTCAGGAGCTAAATTAAGAGTGTCTAAATAATTGAGGAAAATTGTTAAATAATAACCATCTAAAAGTATTCTTAATAGAAGACCAGATTTGAAGGAATTCTTAATAGAAACAAATTTAGAACTTTTGAAATACAAAAATGCGCATTCAATAAGTCATTAAAAAGAAATTTAAATATAGAATAGTCATGTTACTACATCATTTTTGCATTCCTTTCAAAATATCACTCAAAGTACAAATATAGGAAAAAGCCCTTCATTAAAGCAATTTCGAAATCCAACAGATCCTGGATATATTAGATTAAATACAGCAAAATGATATTTGTTAGATAGTTTATATACTAAATTTATTATCATAAGAAAATATAAATTATTGTTCCGATAACAATTGCACCAAAAATTCCAAAAACTACATAAACAGCCCAATTTTATTTTGTGTTTACATCTGTTGCCGCTTTTTGAAATTAAACTGCCATTTAAGATATATCTGCACTTTTGTGATGAATAACATGTAATTATTCTTGATTCATTTAAAACTTCTTTATGTTTTCTTCCATTAATCCTTGGACAGAATCAACAGACTTACAAGTTATTTCTATTTTATCGTCTGAAAAAGGATCTCTGTCATATTAAGTTAATAACTATTTGTAATAAATAAATACATTTCTCACATTTGGTTCTAATGTATGAAATTCATATCTTCCAGTTTAAATTTGCCTTTTTAATATTTCTTCAATTTATTTTAACAATCGCATAGCACTTGACATTGGATAAGAGGATGTAACTAAAAGACTAATTACTATATTGTTCTTTTATGAACAATACCAAGCTCCTGATTATGAATATATCTTTTAAACAGGTAATGAAGGAACATTTTATGAATCTTATTAGTTCAAAATCTGTTAATATAATATTTAAGCTTCTTATTGCAAATCATTGATAAAGACAGGGTTTTCAGCCACCAATGATAAAATTCCATGAGTGCTTAATGTACTCAAATTTATCACACAAGCACATTTCACTCTACAATTTAAATCCATTTATTTAGTATATATTATTTATTATTGAAAATTATTTATTTTTACATATAATTTTCTAAAAAATAATTATAAGTTCAATGAAATAACTATGCTAAAAGGATGAACAATTTGATCTCATTATTGATGATAAACTATCTAGTTAAGAATAATCAACATCAACACAATCTAAACAAAGCAATGCAAACTTAGCTATGCTACAAGACAATTCTAAAAATTTTAAATTAAAAAGAACCCAAAGTATTTATTATAACTATAATTTAAAGAAAGTTTACTATAACTTAATCATATTCCTCCATAAAGAAGAGGGTCTCAATCTTGTGCAGAACCTATTTAAATCATTTAGGAAGAGGTAATCCCTCTTTATATATAACTATCAATAGGGTCATTCATTTAGAAAACCAAATATTTACAATGTATTTTGGTATGATGAAAATATTGATAATAAATATGAAATCATTGTATCAACAACACAAGATACCTTGATCTCTGATTTTATTGTGTTAGTTATAAAAGAATTCAATTTGTAACATGATTATATTCATTCCCCATTCACTTAAGATGGATCACTCCTCTATGAATTGTACATTCCAAAAAAAAAAAATGGAAAACCAAACGAAGATTTTCCAGGTATTTTATTGTTTAATATTCTTTAAAGCCTTTTCAGATTAAACTCAATTAGGTTAAACTAATATAACACAATTTGCCCTCAAAGTGACAAAATTAAACTCTCATTATGTTAGTTCATTTACTCAATAAAATTAAAATACCTAGTTACAAATAACAAAGATTAAAGATGAAAATCCAGGGGATTAAAAGTCTTTCTGGTAGAAATTTTTCTTTTGTTGTAATTTCGATATCTGATTATATTCTTTAGTGATAATTATTATTATCGTAATATTTAATCTATTAAGATTCTTCACAATAAATCTGATATAAATGAATTTATATTGTTACATAACAAAATTTCAATTCTTATATTTATAATAAAATATATTTTTTTGATTTCTATTTCAAATTAATTGGAATCTCTCAGCTCTTAGAATTTATCATAATTTATCTATTCTTTCCCTTAAATTTAATTTCTACTATCAATAATCTTAATGCTAAAGTAATTACATAAGAAAATTAATTGAAAGCAAAAATTTACAAATAACATAGAAAAAGTTTAAAATAGTTTAAGAATAATTTAATGTATTAAATTTTCTTTAATAACAAGTCAAATAATATTTTGGTTGAGCAATTTTCTAAAAAATTATTTTGTTTTTAAAAACAAATGGGATTATGGAATTACAATTAATCAATCAAAATTTATAAACCTATTTATTGATTATTCTCATGCATCATTTAATTATTTAAATTTAAGAAAGATGAATAGCCAATTTACAAATCCAAAAAATTTAGAGTTTCATAAATTAAAAGATCTCAATTTGAATTTTTCTAAAAAAATAAAATTAAATATTGAGGGATAAAGAAAAAAATTTAAGTTTGTTTTGAAAAATTAAATAGACATATAATTCTTAGAATATAATGAAGCTTTTGATATGATAGAGATACAAGTCATTTAGAGAAAAAAAAGTTTGATTTAGTTATAAATTTGCAAATTTTTTATTCTATATTGAAGAACATTGATTATTTAATTATTTTTAAATATAATAATATTTAAAAAGAACAAAAAGAAGGATAAAGATTAAAGTATATAGAAGGAAAATTGATTGTTATGATTATTTTGATATGTTAATAAAAGATTAAATAAAACCTATAATATAAATAGTAAAGTTTAATAAATTTTATTGATGATCTAAATGTAAGATGTGTAGGAATCAATGATTCTGAATGAAATATCAAGTGATGATGAGGATGATTAGGAGAGTCTTTAAATAAGTTAAAGTCCTGTAGAAATAAAATAAATATAAAAAAACAATGATAATGAGCAAACTTTCGTTTAGATTCCAAGCGAACTATCATTTAATAGAAATCTGGATAAAAGAATAAATTAAACAATAGTTCTATAAAACCATGCAGATGAAATAACATAGAAATCAATGAAGAATGCAAAGGAAGCTTATTAAAGAGAAATAATAAAAGAGTTAGTATCGAAATAGAAGAAGAGATTTAAAGTCGATGGATTCAATTTAGACTTAACCTGTAAGATTATTGATTTAAAACTTAGATATAACTGATAATATAATAGCAATGGGATTTCCAGCTGAAAGTTTTGAGGCAATATATAGAAATCCGATGCCAGAAGTGTAAAAATTTCTAAATAGTCGTCATGGAAATAATTATATGGTTTTTAACTTGTAAGCTTACAACTCCTACCTAGATGTTCAGAACGTAAGTATAAGCATGAGTCTTTCTATAAAGTGGCCGAGTTTCCTTTTGATGATCATTAAGCACCTCCATTTAATTTGATGGTTGAATTCTGTTAGAAAGTTCATGAATGGTTAAATGGAAATCCTAATCATGTTGTAGCAATACATTGCAAAGCTGGTAAAGGAAGAACTGGCGTTATGATTTGTTGCTATTTGCTATATAGTGGAAAATATACTTCAAGTTCAGATGCTTTAGCTTATTATGGTCTCGTTAGAACATAAAATAAGAAAGGAGTAACTATACCCAGTTAGATACGATATGTCCATTACTTCAGTTATGCTCTAAAAAATGAACTGATTAAAATGCCATTTAGATAAATTGAATTAGTATCAGTTAGATTAGTTGGTTTATCTTATGGAACAATGATTAGAATTTAAAATAATGATAGGTAATTAATAGAAAAGGCATAGATTGCTTCAGAAAAAGAAATACTTTTTGCATTCAATGATATATTTTTATAGGGAGATGTTCTCATTCAAATATTCCATAAGTCTATTGTTTCGGAATCAAAAATCTTATAGTCTTGGTTTAATACTAATTTTGTATCCCTTTCCCCAAAAGAATAAGTGTTTAAAGCAGAAGAATTGGATATGACCAAAAAATCACTGAAGCATTCTACATAAATTCAAATGGAATTGTTATTTGAATAAGTAATTTAGACTAGACAAAGATCTAATTGCTTTTAAAAATAAAAATGATTTATTATTAACTATCAAAAATCTAAATATTAAACTGCTGCTCCAATATCTATTAAATCAAAGGGTTTAGCTATAAAATAATCAGCTCCATTTTTAAAACATTCTAATTTAGAATTCAAATCTACAAATGTTGCTATTACTATCACATAACCCTTGTCTATCGTACCATTTTTCATTTATTCTTTTAGTAATTTTACTAATTCTATTCCTGATAATATCTAAAATAAATAAATATACAGATTTTACTGGTAAATAAAATTCTATAAAAAATAACAAATAAGATTTATTTCCACAATGGCAAGGTTTAATTAATTTATTCTATATTAATTTTTAAGCCTCAATTCCATTAAAAGCTTTATCACATTTAATATTATATTTTTCTAAAACTTTTTATAAAGAAAAGACACTATAATGATCATTATCTAAAATTAAAACCTTAGAACAACAAGTTAATCTTAATCTATATTTAATTACTGATGATAATAATTTTGGAGTTAATTCTGGAGGATGGATTGATGGATTACTTAATTCAGCTCCAAAATCAAAATTAGAATGTGTTTTCATGGAGTCATGTTAAGAATCACTTTTATCATTTCTTTCATTTCTAGTCTTTTTATAAGGTTGTTAAATTGTATCAGGAAAACCTTATTTCAATGTTCCAGAAAAACTATTACTTTATTCTTTTGATTGTTTAGGAACAGATCCAGAATTTTAAATTTATTTAGAATTTGATGAATCTTATTTAATTCTTGAAATTTATGAGAAATAAGCACTTTGAACATCAAAAGGATCTCCAGGTTTCATAGAAAATTATTTTGATAATTAAGTCAATGAAATATACCTTAATAGAAATGTAGATAATTACTTAGATTCTTCTCTATAACCACTGCTATCTTAAGCTAATAATAAAGATAATGATGTTTCGTAATATTTTCTTTAACCTAAGATTTTAATTGGACCTGTATCTTAACGAGATTACATTCTTTATTGATTTGTTTATGATTCAATTACAAAAGTAAAAGTACCAAATCCTTAACTATCATACAAGAATTCTAGACCTCTTTTAAATGTTCCAGACAATTACCAACATAAGATAACACAAATTTATAATTCTAATGGATTATTCAAATCAACATCATAAAATGAAGACATTTTTAAAGTTGAATTGAGAAATCTAACTAAATTTGTAATTGATTTTCTCATATTATCATCTTTAGCTATCATACTGTCTTTAAATGATACCATAATACCACTTACAGTATAACTTTTGATATCTAATTTTAATTAAGAAGCAGTTGTATATTTTAAACAATAAGACAATAAACATGCTAATATTTATTTTAACTAGTTTATGATAATAATTTACCCTATCTAAATCACTAAATATAATTTGATTATTATCACTTAAATCTATAGATGTTGTTAAACTCACATCTCTTATTTTTAAGTTGTCTTCATATACTAATAATAATTCTTCAATCAAATCATTTACTTTGAATGCTGAAATTCTTAAAAATAGTTAATTTTATATATAAAAGATATAATCTCTCATACTATTAACAAATAGTATGTATCTTAAGCTCATCATTCTCATAGGCATATAATAATATTGTTTCAAAGAGATTTTGTGAGTATTTTCATGTTCATGTTATGTGAGTAAAATTAGAGTTAATATACAATTTATATAGCTTACAGATTCATGTACAAAAGTGGAAAATATATTTATGATTGGTTAAGTAGATTCATCTTTTTTTCTTTATGGAGGTTACTGCTCAAAAAGGAAAATAAGAAAGGTGGATTCATTGACCTTATTCACAAATACTTTGATTTGGATATTCTCAAAATCGAACACATCGCTTCTCAATTTAAACAATGTCACCATACTCGGTCGCCATCTCTTTAATTCCAAGTAAACTACTTATCAATCTCATTCTGCATCATCAAACTCAAATCTCTAATGGTTAGAATAGACTTCATTCGGCATTTATGATAATCATTCACTCTATTTAGCAAAAAGGAACCACTTTTAATTATCAATTTATTTCATTACTCACTATTCATAGATTATTCATTATTATTGCTATTTATTTCCATCAACTCTTTGCTCCCTATCAATATTTGGCAATCTAAGAACAACTCTTCATAATCTGGCTTTGATTACTATTATGTTTATTATTCATCCAAATTTGATTACTTAAGCAATTTCCCTAAAAATATATTCTAATAAACTATGTTTAGCTTCCTATTATAAACTAAAGCAGATTAGTTCTAAATCCAAGCAACATTCTATAAAATTAATTCATCTTCATTTTATTCCATTTTTATTACATTTATTTCTTAACTAACCGATTATTATTATTATTATTAATTTGACTTGCTTATCAAATCTCTATTATTTATTGATTCCTTTACTACATTATATATTATAATTATTTCTATACATTCAAATGATTTCTATTTAAAAGTCTATTCTTAATAAGCTTCTATAGATTTTACTGATTACCACTTCATAAACATTAATCCAATCAAATAAATTACATTAAAAAAATATAATAAGTTGAATGGTACTTCTGTTAAATAATTATTTTCTTATTCCTATATCAAACTAATTAAAAACACTGTGCTTAATATAAATAATTAAATAGCATCATCTTCAATCAAATGGACTATTATCAAACAAAATTAACATATCTCAATATTCATTGAAATTTGAATTAAAATGAAGATTAATTTAAATCTCCAAAACATCTTGATATGATCGCTATTCTTATATTTTATGAATAGATAAATTAACTCAATTATTAAATTCAAACTTATTGGTAAAATTGAATCTAATTCTGAAGATTAATATAGTCCTACTTCATTTAGAAACAATACCTATTAGGAGGGCTAAAAATATCTAAACTTCATTTAGAAGATACTCTATTAAGTTCTTTTTTAGCATAAATATAATTAATTTTATATATATCCGTAGATAGAGTAATTCAACAATTCAAATATTAAAATTTGAAAATCTATAATTATAATTTATTGAACAAAACCTAATAAAATTTCCATGTTATATTTATCAATATTTTTACATTTTTAATTAAATTGCTAAAGCATTGACTTATTTTATTTTTTTATATTAACAATTATTTTATTTTAAATCTAAAATTAATAATAAATGAGCAATCAAATAAATTTGTAGTTCAAAGTAACTTTTTAATTTTCCTAATTTTCGATCCTACAAAACATCTTATAGAATAGGGAGAAGTTTATAAATGCTTCTTCCTATTAAAATGGTTGCATCTCAATGATTCAATATATTTTGTATATCTATTTATTACTTGATTATAATTATTATGAGGATTGTAAGTCTTGAATTCACACATTTTTTCGAACTTATTAAAAATTATATCAACCAAATAATATCCTTAATTCTAATATTATGAATTTCATTTACTTCTGGACTTGTTATAGCTTGAAACTAAGACATTTAAATTGGAGTGCTCTTTGTACCAGACTTTAAGCTTTTATTATTATTGAGTCTATTTTATTCTGTCAAAGACCTTGAGCTAATCAATTTTCTTGTATCTGATTTTTCCATTACTCTATCTTAACTAGATTATCTAGATTTTCTTTATGATTTATTTTATCTTGAGGATGGATTATTCGAAATATCTTTGGAAATTGAATTAGATTAAGTGTAAGATCTTTCAGAAATTTACCTAATTGGTTATTTGAGATTAGATGGCTATTACTATTAATAAATTGCTAATGATTATTGTTATTATTAAGCATCTGTTTTATTTAATTCCTCTCTATGAATTGATTGCAATTATTCTTTTTAATATTGAAAAGTCATTTTATTTCCATTATAATTTCTTGCAGTTTGATATAAAATAGTTTTTTCTTTGTTCATTTAATGTTCAAATTAATTTACAATTTCGTCCTTTTCCAAAAGTGATGAATTTTTCAAAAAATTCGTTGTCTTTTTTGAATTTTAACGAATATTTTTAACTTAGGCTTCTTAAAAGGGTATGGTTTAATCATCCTAAAATTCTTATTGTATATTAATTTCTTCAAAACTCTCTACATTACTGAATGTTTAATATTATTCAGGATTCTAATTTTTTTAACCCAAAGAGTTACTATTAAAACTTACGGACTAATATGTTTAATCTAAAATATGTTAAAAGCATTTACTCTCAGAATATGGTAATTATGAAATATCTGGTAATTCATCAGACATCTATTCTTAACTTTATTTATTAATGTATTATTTGGCCTTCTCTTAATTTAAACTTAGATCTTACCAAGCAAATGATTTGCGATATCTTCTAGTCCATTTTTTTCTAAATTATTTTTGTGTATATAAGTATTTCTCTATTGTATTTAATCTCTATGGAAAATACTGAATATGGTTGCATTCAATAATATAGTTTCCATTAATTTAACAATAGTAACATTCAAATATTTTTTGATTGTAAGATGCATTATCCTTCATTGTGCAAAATATTTCATTATCATTAGGATAATTTGATATTATGGATATGAAATTGGATCTCTTTAATTTCATTAATGTAGTTGATCCTTAACTAAAAATACTGATATTTAAAGGGATTCCTGTGATAAAAGAATATTACCCAAATGTTTGTCCTTCTGATAATGTTGTTACTTCTCTTTTATTTTTACCAAAAGAAGATCCTTAAAATTAGACTTTTACTTAGCCTTTTAAAATATAGAATAATCCTAAATCATCTATTTAATGTTCCTTTTTCATACTATAATATTTATACTATTATTATGTTATCTTCAGGATTAAATTACACTTATTCTATTTCATACAATAATTATTATTTAAAATGAGTTGAAAATCTATTCATTAATTCTATTTTATCAATCATTGTCGATCTTAAAGATATTTCTATTTCATCTTTTAAATCCAGACTTAACTTTTTAGTAAGTTGATCTTTTGATTTGTTTATATCTTCCTATAAATATCAAAATAAATTAGTATTACATCTATTCGAAATTCAAGATAAGAGTAACATCTCCTTAATAATTAATCATTTTCACATTTTTCTCTAAATCTTTCAACGAATCCTTTAAGTAATCTCTATTTCTCCTCTTGAATTTCTATATCAGGTTTCATCCAAATGTAAAATATCATTGATGTATAAGCAAGGCATAGATATGAGATAATCATATAAATTGATATTAATAAACAATTTTAGCTGGATATTTCAATTGCTAATAGTTGTATAATATAATTTAATACATATATTCGAACAATGAGTAAGTAAAGATATAGCTAATACAATACTATAAGATAGAGGCATATCTTCATCCAAATTAAAAACTCTATTTATTCTAATATAGTACCTTAATATGTACAAGTGAATGAAACTATTACAGTAATCCAAAGCTAAAAAATGAAAATTAAATGATGAGTTGATTTATAAATGTTTTCAAAATTTTCATTTTATCTCAACAATGATAAAATCATCATTAATATAATTGTCAATAGTTTACAATCATTTGCAATTTAGATAAAGTTGTTAAATATTAAAAGCAATAATCTGATTGTATCTAAAATTTTTTTTGTTTCATCTTAATAATTGACTTTGATGGTTCCACGATACATTTTATATGGACCTCTTTAAAAAAATAAATCTTAAAATATAGTAAGTAAATTCAATCCAAATGTGATGTGAGAAAGAATTTAAAATAATTATGAAACTTCAAAAAATTGAGTTATAGGAATAAATATGGATGTCAGGAAATTTGAAGTTGTAGTTGATAGAAAAATGTACATTGTGAAATAAAAATATTTCAAAGGCGATACTAAAAATAATTAGACTATAATTTTTTACATTCCTAATATTCATTTCTTAATAAAGGATCATTATATTTTGAATAATGTATTAAATTCAACAATTTGACTTTAATTTAGTCTATGATCATTTTTATTTTTTCTTAATTGACTTATTTGTATCTCCTACCTTCTAAGATTGATCTAATCTATAGAATTTAATAAATAAAAATAGATTACAGAATTTTAGGAGGAAGATATATTTGAAGTTTCATAATGATAATTATATTGATGTTGATTTTTATTTTCAGACTTGAATGCTATTTTTTCTCTACTTTTATTTGTATGTATATTGGAAAATATAGAAGGAGCCATAATATCTTCACTTCCTTAATAATCTTAAGGTTGCTGAGGAAATGTTCTAAGAAAGCTCGGTTTCGAATGATCATATTTGTTAGTTAAGGATATAGATAATTAATCCTCTTCATCTTGATATTGTTAGCATTGTTTATATTGGTTTTATTTCATAATTTTGTTGGATAAGTTAGTGTTAACTTATAATTGTTCATTGTTTTAAACAAATTATTGATTCTTTTAATTCATCAAAATTATTCAAATAAATATTATGATTTATAGATAAATTATAATAGTGATCATTTCTTATTTTAAGTTCTCTACATCTTTTTTCTACAACATGTATGCCTTTTTAATTTAATTGTTGAATTATGACATTAACTTGGTAAAATAAAGCTTAATGAAAATTAAATTCGATAAAAATTTCTACTTAAATAAACAAAATTACAGAATAATGAGTGCTTTAATTATCTATTGCTTTATAGATGATGGATTCAATACCTGTAAGATTAGGGTAAAATTTGCATGATTTAAATATTTTGGTTTACATTTACATTTTTTTATTTTCAAGTTCAAGTGTGATATCTTCTAAGGTTAAACACTAAATAGCGAATTTTCTGGCATAAACTTAAATTGATTTGAAAGTTCTTTCAATTCTTTTAATTTACATTTTATTATGATCATTTAAGATTAAATCTACTACTTAGTTAAATTTAATAAAATAGAATTCTTTGTATGGGTATTTTTTTGAGAATCCTTTTACGAACAGTTTACCAATAAAAGTTAAAAGGGTACTAAGAATGAATCTACAAGATATAAAAATAGAAATGTAAATTGGAATTTAATCCTTAAATATTTATATGTTTTAAGAATTTTAATTGTATTAAATATATTTTACGATTTAATATTTTTAATAAGTAGTGTATAGTTAATTTAATAAAAAATTTGTAAACAATATATTTGTGCAAAATAATTAATCATAATTTAAATTGATCAAGATCAGGATGTTGTACTTTAGGTTCAGTCTATGGAGTTTCTAGTGGAGTCTTAACAAAAGTATATGATTCAGCACCTTTCATAGTTGATTTATCCTAATTTATGATTAGAATAATACATTCAAGCTTTTGCTATGTTCTTTAAAGAAAAATGTAAGATTATTAGGATCCATTTCTAAAGCAACTCTTAGTTTTTCTCCAATTCTTAATTTTTCACTTTCTTTTCTGTCTTTTAACCAAATTTCTAATAAATTTCTTCTTTCTCTAATTGATAATACTACACCAATTACATTATCATCATCAAATTCTTCTCCAATACATGCTTAAAATGACTCGATAATTAATACCCAAAAGTAATGCTTCCCATTTCTTATTCAATAATTCATTCTCTCTTTTTTTAAAATGAATAATCCATGTACCTCCTTCTAAACATTCTTCCCACATTGGTCTATGACCTTTTCTAAATAACATAATTTTGTTATCAATTTCAATCTATTATTTGTTTAAATTAAATACCTCACTTGGTCTGCCCAAAAAACAATAATATGTATAAAATTCTTCAACTGTATTGAATTCACCAATTTCTTTTAAATTTACATCATAATGATCTGAACCTGCTATTGCTTTTCTACCTCTTGGAGCATACCAAAATACCCAATTTTATGATAGTTTATGAGCCATATAAAAATATTAATAAAATTTTATAAAATGAATGAATAAGAATGTAAATCATATTATCTATTTTAAAACTAGTTATGAAACAAACAGCATAAATATTTTGTTAAGATCCTAAAATTAGATAATCTCAATGTATTGATCAACGAATGTAACTTTATGATGAAATGTAAAACAAATTAATAATAATAATAATTCAGATTGTGTAAAACTCTTGGAAAAGTCTATCCAGTAAAGGATTAAACTTTTAATTAAGATTGCCAGTTAGAAAAGTTGCCCTAATAAAATACATTACTTGATTCCTTTATTAAAAATCTACTTATGAGTGATAAAGGGTAAAAATAAATTATGATTAATCTTATTAGAGCTATTTTTTGTTACAATTAATATCAATAAAATAGATTACCTCAACCTAAAATTCAATAGAATCAAAATTAATAACGATCTCTAAGATAACATCCTAATTACTAGCAATATCAATAATAAGAACGTTACAATAATAATGATTTTCAAATACCATCTTAACAAAGACATGTAATGATAGAACGTTAAAATCATCAAAGTTATCAAGGATTTCCTTAACCTTTTAATAATTCTTAATTGTATCATTCCAGAAACTTCAATTAATAAAATGATCATGATAATATATATACTTTTGATATCATTGAAGAATCAAAACGTAGAAGAATTCAATAAATTCAAAACTATAGATATAAATGATTATTAATATTTGAATTATTCATATGCTCTAAATACTATTTCCTTCAAATTCATCTTCCAAATCATCATCATTAAACTAATTTTCACCATCATCTAATATTAATAACAATTAATTTGTACTTGCATCTCCATCTTAGATAAATCCCATATCTTCTCTTCTTTGATTTTGTTATTATGCATTTTCTTCATTTAATTTGTAAGCTTCCTTCAAAAATTATGGTACATCTTCAATTTCATATAAATCCACAACTATACAATCCTATTTTTAGATCGATCTTTATACTTTCTTTTAATGAATCATTTCTGAACACACTCTACAACAGGTCATCTTGTGTTTCATACAAAAGAAATGTTTCACTCTGTCATTATGAAATTCACAAAACTCTAATCCTGAATCTGGATCAACTTAAGGATATGCATTTTATTATTGTTGACGTGCTTTTTATGCTTACAATGCTGATTATTAAAATTATGTAAACAAATATTGTTATGGATCTATCACTTCTGTACCTCCATGTTATTTACTCTTATTATTAATATCATCTGCCATACGAGTGAAAATTGTATGATTAATCTATTATTTAATATTACTCTTTACTGGCAATCTATCAACTGAATCTAGATGCTTAATTAATTTTAAACATAGTGGACATCTTACTCTTCTATTTCTACATTACAATTACAATTATCAATTACCTATAAAAATTTGTAAGACAAGCAGTACAAATTGTATGTCCACAATGAATCAATATTCTAGGTAACCTATCCTTCATATTGTAATCATTTTTGCATAAAATGCATTATCTTTGATTAAGCAATTTGCTGACAAATTCATTAATTTTAGGTAAATATTCAGTTGGAGGATTATTTGATTGTTCAAAGAAATATTATGTTGGATTTTGAACTACTTTCATTAAATAAAATAATTTAATTTGTTAAAAAACCTTTATTTGAATTCTTTGTATATTTAATATTAATTATA